ACCAACATGCAGAGTGGACAGACTGGTTCTCCACATACACACACACATGAGAACCAGGTAGAAGGAGATAAGGAGTGAGAATGAAAAGAGCAGAACAGAACTGAGAAACCAGAGCTAGTGAACAGAGTGATAAAGATCTAAATACAAGGACGTGATTCATGACAGTCCATGGTGTACCCTACCTCTTAAACTGCTTGAGGTTAGCACCAGCTCCTTGCGACTGAATTGACCACAGTCCACTTCTTTACTCTTTGCTCCGAAGCTGAAAGACTCAACAGGGAGACAGTGCTAATGAAAATTTAAGCTCAATTTGATTGAAAATCAGAGTTGGCCACTACCTTTTATGAATAAGAACGGTTTTATTTTGAAAAGCGCAACCAGAACAGGAGGTATGTAAAGAGGCTACGTAAGAAAAAGCAAAGCAGAAAAGCTGAAGTCCTGACGGAATGATTGTATTTCATGCCTCAGATTCAGTTGTTTTATTTTTTCGTTGTTTTTCCTTTTTTGCATTTTCTGGTTTGGTTCAAAGACAACTTGGTTAGAAAAAATTGTGCTTCAGGTCAGAATTTACCATTTAAAACCTTTACTTGCGAGAAAATTGCACTGTTTAGATTGTCTTGGCGACAAGCCCATTAAAGAATATACAAGTGCTTTTTTAGGCCTAAAAACAACTGAAATTATAAAAAAAATACATGTTGTGACATGATGTCAGTATGTTTTTCCATTCATCTGTCACTGTCTTGCTGTTACTGGCCTCCCTACAGCTTTTCATTTAAAGTATTTGCCTGTGCTTTATCACTGTCAATTAAACTTCAATCACTAACTAGTATGGTTCTTAGCTTCAGGGTGTTTGACTAGCTACAAGCTTTCATCAAAACATTATGCTCCATGACCGCCAAACCCAAGTGGTTACAGATTTGCATATCAATCCCAGATTGTTCTTAATCAAAACTGCTGCTTTCTCTTCGATGTGTCCACGAAATTCATTTTCGCCCACGCAAGCCCCTCATTTGTATGAAATGGAATTGGACGCATTGAAATTGCATTCCCAGATGAGCGGCGCTGATTGGGCTTGTGTGTCACGCTGCATGCAAAATAAAGAGTAAACAAAAATGAAGGGGATGATCCCTGCCGCTTGACTCGTGACGACAACATCACACTTGTTCGTGCACGGTGGTGTGCGCAGTCGTAGCATTCAGAGAAATGCCCCAAATTCATGTTTTTATTTTTGGGTGGAATCTGATTAAAAGCAGTTTCTTCAAAAACAAAAAAAACAAAAAAGAAGGAAAGAAGAAGTTAGGATTTTTTTTTTCCTCTCTTGTAAGTTATCTGATGTTTTCACTTTACTTTGGAATGTCTGAAACAAAATCATCTAAATGTTTAATTAAACTAAATGAAAATGGCAACTTTGCAGCTTGTGCTCTTAATATTTTTGCGATAGGCGCCATTAGGAGAAAAGTAAACTAAAAGTAGATTAAAGTTTACTTCAAATAGTTAAACTTTTCAACAAAGGTCCTGTGTGAGATTGTGCACAAAATATGTGTTGGGTATCAGTTTTAGTTACTACCCCATCAAACTTTAGGTCAATATATTTAAAGTCCAGTGGTTCATGAGATATTGCACTAACATGCGTGCACACAGACATAGGCAAAAAGTTTTTATCATCTACCTTTCTGTGGACAAGGAATAAAAAACTTTCTCTGTGTCTCAGTATTTCCAGGCCAGTAAACTTGGCTGTTTATTGCAATATGGTTTGCATATTTTCCATGCTGATGGTGTTAAACTGTGGGGGTGGGGGTGCAGGGTAGTTTGATGAGTATCAGACCTTTCTCCTGTCTCCTACATATCTTGTAGATTGTAAATATGGTTGCTTGTGTACCTTCCTGCACGTCCCTGGAGAAAACTATATATATTTTTTTTCCAAAGTCATGTGTGCAAACGTGTGATTTTGCACGTATGCCAGTGCGTTGATGTTCGCCCTCTCGCGTCATTCATTTATGCTGCTTTCAGTGCCGAGTTGTAACTCAGCAGAACATTAAAAACTCATGTGCCAGGTTTTTTTTTTGTTTGTTTTTTTCCTCGACACTGTTCTGCGTAGTTTAAATGTGAGGCTGTTAAAAAGACAACTGCGATGGACAATAACAAGAAACATCACTGCTGGATTTCCAGAGTTTTGTAGCTGTTGCAGTATTCAGTAGGTGCAGCTTACAGTTTGATTTAACATGACAAATGACACAAATCAGCCAGATTTGTCATAGGAGAGGCAAAAACCTGACAGCTGTGCTTGTTAGTCACCAACTTTATCGCTTCCCTTTCTCCCCCTGGAGACACAGCTGAGCCACACAAGAACCTGTTTGTATTTGTTTGCCTCCTTTCTGTCTTTGCTTTCATAATCCAAGATATATTAGATGAAGCAATGCGATCTACTCACGCGCTCTGTTTTGCTGTCTCCCCCCTCTCTCATATCCTCTTCCACTGTCGCTGTGCCATCCAGATGGAGGAGTTGATAGCACGCATGCAGGAGGAGAAAAATGGCATCCCCATACGAACAGTGAAGAGTTTTTTAACCAAGATCCCCAGTGTTTTTTCAGGTAAGACTTTTCTCTTGTGCCCACTGGAAAGTGGTAACCCCCACCCCTCTGCAGAAATCTACTGAAGTTGTCAGTTTAGTTTTTTTCTTTGCACAACAACAGTGGCAAAACGTCAAGAGGCCTTTCAACCTCAGTGACAAGTTTTTTTTTTGATACTCTTGAAGCAACATTACATCTGTTAAACTTTTTAGCAGAACTTGTCACCAGTCTTCTTTTGAAATAAATAATACGCTTTATACTACCGTACTTTCCACCTTCAAAGTCGCACCGCCGTATAAGTTGCATCAGTCCAAATGTGTTTAATAAAGTGGGAAAAAAAAACATAATTATATCGCTTCGCCATATAAGTTACGCCTATTATATGTCACCACTGACCACCTGGACACGTGGGCAGGTGTTGTGCCAAAAATCGATTAGCTGCCAAATGGCGGTCGCGGGAGCGTGCACGGGAGGACTTTAACAAGATTAAAACTTAAAAACAATTATTTGTTTGCTCGACATGATAGCAAAGGTGTGTCTCAGTTGAACTTTTCCTTAATAAATGCACTTTAATGGTTAAAAAAGCTTCATTTCAAAAGTTGATTCACGGCTGCAGGAGCTCGCCGAGGGAGGACTCGCTGTGCATTCTTTCGAAATTTAAACAAGATAACCACTTAAAAACAATTGTTTGTTTGCTCGACATCATAGAAAAGGTGTGTCTCAGTTGAATAACTCCATAATAAATGCACTTTAATGGTCAAATCAGCTGCATTTTGCATGGGCGGCGCTGCACAATTAAGCTCCAGGAGTTCCAGAGCGAGACAAAGGTGGCCTTGTATGGCAAGCCAAGTGTCTCATTAATAGCCACTTCTACCTATTATTTTATTTAAACCTTTATTTTACCAGGAAGAAATCCATTGAGATTATTAATCTCTTTTACAAGGATGCCCTGGGCAATATGCAAATAAAGCAACACAGTCTTAAAAATAATTATTAATATTATATTATATTGATGAGACTCTTGGCTTGCAATTTTAGTCGAGGACCCTCTAGCGGCTGAAAATGGTAGTGTTCAATATTTTCCATGACTGAATGAATTAAATCATCAGATCACAGCCAAAATGGGGTTATAAATATGGGAGAAAAAACATAAATTAGTCGCTTCAGACTATAAGTCACAGGACTTTTCTAATTTATGAAAAAAGATGTGACTTATAGTCCGAAAAGTACAGTAATCTTAGTGCAGTCATAGTTTCACCATGCAACTTTAATGTCAACATGAATTCAGGTTTACACTGTTGTCCCTGCAGATATAGTAAGTAAGGAAGGAAATGCATAAATGAATAAAAGTTTACCCAAAGAACAGCCACTGGCATCAGTCTCAGTCCTCTTTTCGCAGAACAGTTTGTCCAGCAGTAGTAGCCAGACGTTGTGGGAGTAACTAGTTGGTTGCGTCACTTTCTTGTTTTTTTTTTCCTTTTCCATCTGAAAGTGTGATTACTGTAGTTTGAATTATTAATTATACACTGGAATACCCCCAAATGAAAAATATATAGGATTCAAACTTACATTCTTAAGGTAAAGTTTAGGTGTGGCATTTATTGGACTGTACTAATGGAAAGGATTTCAAGATTTGGTTTAGTATTAAATAAAACAAATGTAGCATTTTCCTTTCTTTCTTCTTTTGGAATGAGCAATTTCTAACAATGTGCTGCAGATCCTGTTCTGTTGTAATCTGCTATGTTTTTACAGTCACTCCAAATGGACGTAGCAGATGATGTGAAGACTTTTAGCTCATTTGCAGCCAATGAATTAGTTTGTTAGTTTGCAAAGGAAAGTGGCATCCAGATCCCCACAGTGGTTTTCTGTTAGTAGAAACTGTTTCAGTCACAGTAAATATAAGAAGACTGAATTAGCATTTTTCACATAGACCCATTTTACAGTACAAGTTGTGATTGTAATACAGTAGTCCCTTGTTATCGTGGGAGTTTGGGACCATGTCCTCCCCCCTACGCAACAAGTGAAAAACCAGGCGAAGTAGGGATACAGTAATCCAAGTTCAAGTAAACTTTATTGTCATTACCATCTCATGTGGCACATGAGATGGAACAAAATTATGTACATAAGTAGTAGTAGTAGTAAGTAGTAGTTTATTTGACTATTTACTGTAGTAGTAAGTAGTATTTAATTTTAGTATTTATTATATAATGTATAAAGGAGTTTTAAAGCCTTCACACACTTTTGCAATGTCCCTAACAATTTTCGAAACTCTAAATGCTCTAAAAGAGCACAGCATGTCATGATCTCTGCTCTCTGCCATCGCTCTTGGCCACGCCCACTTCTCCGCTGCAGAGCGGAGATCTGACATGCTGCTGGAGGGAGCTTCTCCTGCAGCTGTGGGCTGCACACAGGTGCAGCAGGTGCTAAATAATTTAAAATAATTTGTTTTAAATAAAAATTCCATACCGATCGTATGGCTCTGCCGTCAATCAGCCAAGTGTGTCTTGTCCAATCTTATTTTGAAAAACCGCAATAAAGCAAGTGCGTGAAAAACGAACCACAAAGTAGCGAGGGACTACTGTACTGTGACTTTTCTGTATTGCAAATCTTTTTTTTTTTTTTTTACTGTAGATGGATAAATGTGTCTATTTGCTCTAAGTGTGTTACATTAGTAGCTATGTGCATTGTTGGATATTATTTTATGTGCGGTGTATTCATGTGTTTATTTATTAAACTGAACAATAGATGCGAAGCACAAAAACAGCTCAGCTGCTTTTTTTTCTGCAAAAACAAAAAACATGAAGATGTCAGTAAACACTCAGTTTCCTCTTCAGTAATATTATAGCAGTTATAATCTATAATTTATTATAAAATATTAAAAATTTACATTTTTTTATTAGTTTGTCTAAGCTTGTTGGTGCTTGAAATTTAATTTTAGTACTCAAACAGCTTCACTAATGAGAATGTTAAAACTTTAATTTAGTACAAACACTTCAGTTCGTTTTATACATGTATTTGTACGTCACTCCTTCTTATTGTAATTAATGAAAAATCGTGAGGTGCATATTTTACATTACAGACCTTTCCATTTACTATTAATGTTATAGTTACTTTCTGTTAACTACGCATGCAAACATCCTTAAAATGTACTCATCCATGTACGGTTGTGATATTAATCAATTTGGAGGAGAGCTTTGTTAGAGGATTACTTACATATCTTATTAAAGCTCTATCTTAGAAAGTGGGTCAACATTAATATTGTGAAAATGGGTTTGCATTAATGATGTTAATCCATCAAAAGTCTCTTCTAGTTATGATGGCGATCAATTCAACAGAATGCAATGACAGCGACGTGAAAAGATCAAATTTGGACGTACAGAGTAGCAGCTTGATGGACATGAAGACTGCCACAGGGCTCGTCTCTCTCACTGCATGACTTCTCCCATGTCTCCATTTCCCACCTTTTTTTCCACCTTCTGTGGCTTTTGTCTCCTCAACACACCCTCACCTGTCAGGATGACAGACAGTAATGATTGCTCGAAGATTATATAGCTAAAGTGCCAAAGTCACATGTGCCGGGGTGTGAAAATGCCCAGGGGGCAGAGGCTGCTGTTATGTTTGTCTGAGATGTGAAAATGATGCAGTAAAATTGTGAGGTGTTAAAGATGCAAGATGGCATCTATTATCATAAGTTTCATGCTTGTACTAGCAAAAGACAGACTTTGCATCCTTTTGGCACTTTTTTGTGTCCAGTTTGTTTTTGCTAATTTGCAATATAGACTGTGATGAACCCATTATAGAGTTGAACAAATATTCTGTTTCTATGGGGTACATAATATTTACTACAGCAAACCATTGCACCTATGGTCATTTATATTAATGAACCTGAGTCAATGGGAGTTAGCTTGAAGAAAAGAATATTGGTAAATTGATGGCCCTATGGCTACCTACAGTACATAAGATGAGAGAACATAATATTCACAGTGATGATGGAGGCAGGTGGGCAGGGTTAGGTCTCTTGTTGTTTTTAGTTTCATATAAATGCAAACAAGTGTTTGAGCACATTGTGGAACACGTTATACGCCATTGATTCAGATGTATGTGCTTTCAGGTTCTGATATCGTACAATGGCTGATGAAGAATCTGGACATTGAAGATCAAGGTAAATGCCAAATATTTCAATGCGTGATGCTGATCAGATATTAGATGTTTGTTTTTTCATTAATCTGCATGGAATAAAGAGAAATACCTACAGATCCTTTTGGACCAAAGCTTGCTCCGTTGCATGTCCTTACCTTGACGTTACTTTTTTTTTCTTGATTCTGTCTTTTTATGTCCTTGAGCTGTTGCTCACTACAATTCTTCTCCTGTTCATTCGACTTTTTCTATTTTGTTGTCACTACTTTATTCCAGGATGACAACAGATAATTAAACTGTCACGAGTAAAACTCATAAAATCATTTGTTGAGTCACTTTTTGCTATGCAGTAAAAAAAAAAAAACGGAGTCAAATTGTAAGAATTGTAACCTGTAATAAATGTAATATTTTGATTGTGTTCAAGATTGTAGGGAGAAAAAATAATAATTTGGTTTTTGTAAATTGTTTGTGTTTTTAGGAATATGTAGTGATTGTGCTTTTTAATTGGTTTAATTGGTAGGCTGCCTCAGAAGTTGATAATTTATCTTTCTTATTTGTCAATGCATACATATTTCTATCTTGTTGTATTTGTATGCAAAAATCTACTTTATGACACATTTATGCCACAATACTGGACACATACTCAGTCTAACTCTATCAAACAAATACATGTTTACGGTGTACGTGTGCATAAAATAAAACGCTTTTCATCAAGATTCATCTTGATGAAACTAGATATGAAACATGAAAACAGACAGTCTTTGTGCCTAAAGTCTATTTCTTTCCATTTTTTGCAGCACAGATAAAACATGCTGCCAGTCCCCCTGCAGCTGTAAACATTATGTTGTTGAAAATGAGGCAACTTTAGCCCAGATATCTGCTGGTGGGCATGACAAAGAGCCGAGAGAGGCAATTAATGTGGCTCACAGCAAGTTTATTATGCAAAGGCAAATGAGCTTTTATCAAAGTTTATTGGGAATCGAGAGGTTTATTTCTGAATGAATGCCTCAGATAATACATTTAATACTACCCAGTTTAACTCATTATCCTTTTATTTGGGATTTGTTTGCAGTTCAATTTTAGCTTTTTTTTCTTGTATTTGATTACCTCACACACACAAAAAAATGTTCTAGAGTTTAATTCTCAAATAAGCTTGACATTTATTTTGGATCATTTTAGCAGCAACTAGTTGCAAGTCAATACAGCTTGATTACAGTTCAGAACATCAGTCATTAAATATTTATATATATACCTATTATCATAGAGCGAGAGAAAATAAAATTGAAAAAATTCTGAAAATCTCTTTCTTGATTGTTGTCTTTACACATCTGTGGTTACAGAGAAAGGAAAAAACTGCCAGCAGCAATGATAGCATGACGCCGTATGATGCATATTCACAAAATGTCAATATAAAGTATGTAAATAGAGTTCAGGTGCAGCCTGCAGCGTATTTTCTCAGTCCAAGTCAACAATATGACTCATGTTTATATCACCACAGGATAATGAGAACCCTGGTGGGGAGTTTCTAAAATTATTCATCCTGTTGGAAATAAATGAATTAACAAAGGTGACAAAATGCATAAACTGTGACCTGTTTTCTTCACACCAATAAAACTTTTTGCGCTACTGTATCTCTGATAAGACTAGATCCAATTAGGTGCAGTTTTATTAATGTCTTATTATAAGGCACATTCAGTGACAGTGTAAGCTTTTAAATATACTTCAGATCTTTAAAAAAGTACTTAATGCATCATATGTAAAGCAGCACATGAACAAAAAAAATGTATAATGGCTAAGTATTTTGCATTTTGACTTTAAAATGTAGGAAAAGCATAAACTACTACATCAACAAGGGCTGTTTTCCATTTAGATGAAGTTTTATTTTTTGCAGAAGACTAATGCAGCACTCGTGTCTTTTTCTGCTCTAGCATGTCAAAATCTACACTATACAATAAACTTATAATGTCAACAATTAGATCTCTGTGGAATATTAAGTTGTCAAAGCAACAGCCACAACATTTAAAACACTAAAACCGTGTTTAAAAAAAACAAACAACAAAAAAACAAACAATTGAAAGATTAAATTTAAAAAAGGAATACAAAACTTGTACTTGTTAAGATGTGACTTTGTATTAAAAAGTCTGCCCGGATACAAACCTAGATTTGGGGGAAGATGAGTCCGTTACCATGACAGAGGTCACTGAGGAAGTCAAAAAGCTCCTCGGTGGCACAATGCCACAGGTGGATGAGATTTGCCCCAAGATGTTCAAGGCTCTGGATGTTGTGGGACTGTCATGGTTGAAATCTCTTCTGAGGACTGGGACAATGCCTGTGAAGTGGCAGACCAGGGTAGTGGTTCCTATTTCTCAAAAGGGGGACCGGAGAATGTGTTTATATTATTGTGGGATCACACTTCTCGCCCTCCCAGGTAAAGTTTACTCCAGGGTGTTGGAAGAGAGACCCGGATTCAGGAGGAGCAGTGTGGCTTTTGTCCTTGTTGTGGAACATTGGACAAGATCTTCACCCTTGTGGAGTTGCTAAGGGGGTCATGGGAGTTTGCCTCTCCAGTCTACTTGTGCTTTGTGGACCTGGAGAAAGCTTATGACCATGTTCCTCAAGGCATTCTGTAGGGGTGCTGTGGGAGTATGGGGTGCCTGGGTTGCTTTTAAGAACTATCCAGTCCCTGTATAACCAGAACAGGAGCTGTGTCCACATTCTTGGCACAAAAGTTCTTTCCCAGTTGGACTCAGCCAGGGCTGTCCTTTGTCTCCGATCTTGTTTGTGGTGTTCACAGACATGATCTCGAGATGCAGTCATGGAGCGGAGGGTGTCTAGTTTGGGAACCTCAGGGTCTCATTTCTGCTTCATGCAGATGATGTGGTTCTGTTGGCATTTTCAGGCCAAGACGTTCAACATGCACATGGGCAGTTTGCAGCCGATTGTGAAACGACTGGGACGAGAGTCAGCTCCTCAAAGTCTAAGGCCATGGTTCTCGACTGGAAACTGGTGGAATGCCTCCTTTGAGTCAGGGAAGAGCGTTTGCGTCAGGTGGAGGAGTTCAAGTATCTGGGCGTCTTGTTCATTATTGATGGTAGGATGGAGTGGGAGATGGATGGACGGAGTGGGGCCTTGTCCTCATTATTGAGGGCATTGCTTTGATCTGTCAAGGTTAAGAGAGAGCTGAGTCAAAAGTCAAAGCTCTCGATTTACTAGTCTGTCTACATTTCAACCCTAGTCTATGGTCATGAGATTTGGATCATGACCAAAAGAACTAGATCCTGGGTACAAGCAGCTGAAATGGGCTTCCTTCACAGGGTGGTCAGGCACAGCCTTAAAGATAGGGTGAGGAGCTCAGTCATCTGTGGGTTACTCAGAGTAGAGCCTCTGCTCCTCTGCATCAGAAGGAGTCAGTTGAGGTGGTTCAGGCATCTGATTAGGATGCCTCCTGGATGCATCCCTTTAGAGGTTTTCCAGGCACGTCCCACTGGTAGGAGGCCCCAGGGAAGACCCAGAAGTAGCTGGAGGGATTGTATATCTTCTCTGGCCTGGGAATGCCTCGGGGGGCCCCAGAACGAGCTGAAAAGTACTGCTAGGGAGAGGGATGTCTGGGTTTCTCTCCTGGACCTGTTGTCTCCGCAACTGATTATGAATGAGCAGTAGAAGATGAGCTCTACAACATGCTGTAAATAATTTCATTCAGTTTTTACCTTGCAAATATTGATATTTGTTTGTCTATCATACTGAAATCTTTATTTAAACTTGGAAAAGAACTCTGTTGGTGTCAGTATCCCCCTCAGATAATTCTTATAAAGCACGACACAAAAATGTAGCAGAGGCTGAAGCACAGAGTTTCTTAAACTTCCCTTTTAAAACACATTCTAAATGTATTTTTAATGCCTGCTTTAATGCATTTCATAAGCCTTTTCAGAAGATGTTTAGAGCTTAGTCAGTCCCTGAAAAACAATTTTCCTTCAGACTTAATAACACACAAGAATATCCAGTACGTGCATGCAGTTCATATAAGAGATAATATTGCTCTAAGACACAACACAGTGGCTGGGGAGGAAGGGGTTGTGTTTGTGAGTAAACAGATTTAAATAAACTATGAGTCATTATTTATTAATAAACGAAGCCTAGTTACAGATATCCACACACACACATGCAGAGCATCCTGACCCCTGAAAGCTGCATCATTCGCCTCGGCAGTAAAGGCAAAGCTGATCTAAATTTGTCTCTCACACGTAGAAGCCCGTATGGATGTGTGTATGTGTCAGAGTGAGAGAGCCGTGATGTGCAGGTTTTATGCACAAATGCACAAATCCTATGTTATTGCTATCTTAGCTCTGCCCTTTGAGACTACAGAAATGTTTTAACCTCTATATATCTGTTAGTCCATTAAAAAAGAGAAGAGATGAGGACGAGGATGCAACAGCATGTAAACAAAATGTTTCCTGTTCTGCTCCTAATTAACAAAATGTGTTGGTATTACCGCAGATCTGTCAACACATTAAAGGAAACATGAGGGATGGATGTAGACCCCATGAAGGACTTACAGGGCTTGCATCTGCAGGAAATAACTGGTGGCAGATGAGACACACAGTTGATGATGATAACATGTTTTCATTATCTGATGGTTTTAAATCAGCAACAGTCAACCATGAGCTGCAGAGCACCACGGGGAAGCAGGTTTTTTCTCCAACTAGGCACAACACCAGGTGATTTGACTGATGAGTTCCGCCTCTCCTGCTGGAGGTGGGCTAATCAGCTAGGCCTCCTGTCGAGCTGTTTTACTGGAATGGAGACCTGCCTATTCATCTGTCAAAGCCGTGTCAAAGTCATTTTAAGCAGCAGATTGTAGCTCAGCCACTGCTTTTTGAAGTGAACAGAGAATAAAGTTTATTAATGTGGAGGGAACCAAAAGACTGATGTTAATAAATAAAAGTAAAAAAATATATAACAAGTACCGTACTTGTCGCCATATAAGTCGCATCAGTCCAAATATGTCTAATAAAGTGAAAAAAAAACCATAAACAAGTTTACTTGGCCATATAAGTCGCAACTATTATTCGTCATCGCTGACCACCTGGAAACATGGGCTGGTGTTGTGCCAAAAATCGATTGGCTGCCAAATAGTGACCACGAGAGCATGCACGGGAGGATTTTAACAAGTATTTAACAAGATTAACACTTAAAAACAATTATTTGTTTGCGTGAAATTATAGCAAAGTTATGTCTCAGTTTAACTTTTCCTTAATAAATGCACTTTATTGGTCAAATCAGCTGCATTTCAAAAATCGATTTGTGAATGCGGTAGCTCACAGAGGGAGGACTTGCTGTACATTTCGGCAAAATTTAACTAGATATCCACCTAAAACAACAATTTCTTTGCTTGACATTATAGTAAAGGTGTGTCTTATTTGAACTTTTCCTTAATAAATGTATTTTAATGGTCAAATCAGCTGCATTTCGCCTGGGCAGCGCTGCAAAATGCAGCTGATTTGACGTTTGCTCCAGGAGTTCCGGAGCGAGACAAAGGTGGCTTGGTATGGCAAGCCAAGCATTTCATTAATAGCCACTGTTACCTATTAATGAGACACTTGGCTTGCCATATTTTTCGGGGGGCCCTCTAGTGGCTGAAAATGGTAGTGTTCAATATTTTCCATGTCAGAATGAATGAAATCGTCAGACTTCAGCCAAAACTTGGGTTATAAATATGGGGGAAAAAAACATATTAGTCGCTTTGGTGTATAAGTCGCAGGAGTTGCAAATTTATGCAAAAAGGTTTGACTTATACAGCAAAAATTACGCTATGTAAAAAGGGACATCAGGCGTTCAGAATTTGTGACCAAACAAGAAACAATTAGATTCAAGAAAAGATTTGTATATTTAAACCAAATAGGACTCCTTTTTCGCCTACTAACATTTGAATCATTATTAAATACTTTTTTAAGAACATAGCCGTTTTTATGAAGTTTGGTTTAGTTTGTTTATTGTCCACAAAAGAAAAAAAAATGGAAAAAGAGATGGTAAACAAAACACGATCTCATTGAACTGTGAGTGTTCATGTGTGACAGTTCTGGGATAAAAATTACGCCAAGCTGAAAATTGACTTTTTGTCTTTTTATTTTTTTCTGCCAGTCGAGGCACTTCACTTAGGAACGCTGATGGCTGCACACGGATACTACTTCCCCATTTCAGATCACGTCCTCACTCTCAAAGACGACGGCACTTTCTATAGGTTTCAGGTAAGAATAGAAATACAATAAAGTGTTTTTTGAACTATCTAGATATGATTTATTAAAAAAATATATATCTAAAATTGGAAATATTGTAATTCTTGTGCTATAAACCCACAATTTTATCTTGACAAATTAGAGTCAAAATGTGTGTGCATATTGCCCCTTGTATATATTTACTTTATGATATGCTCTTCCTTCAAGTTAAATCACTATATCTAAAACCTTCCTGTGCAATTATAAAAGGGTGTGTAAATTGGAAGTAGGTGTACCTCTATACTGGCTAATAAATAAAGAAGAAAAAACTAATTCTGAACGTCAATAGAGATGCTTGCTTTAGGGATTTTTTTTTTACCAAGTGCCCCAAGTGTGGTGCACAGAACTGACCAGGGAAAGTCAATACCAAAGACATGTGTTGGTAGTCGGCTCCACTTTGGGTTTTATGTGAAATTGGTTTCCATCTGAGACCGGTCTATATGACACTGCCCTGAGGATGGTCAGGATTCATGCTGGTGTCTGCTTTAAGCTCTTTCAGAAGAGAGTTTATATGTCCTTTAGACAAAACACTAAGCCCATTATGCAGGGAAGTGCTTTGCTGTGACAGATGCTGCACTGTGGCTGCAGCACACTTTGATTTAAAGCACCATGTGCTTTATTGTGTGATGTATTTGATGAGAGGTTTACTATAGTTTTATCTCCTAATGACCTATTGTCCTTTCAGACTCCATACTTTTGGCCATCAAACTGCTGGGAACCTGAAAACACAGACTATGGTAAAAGCACTGCTCTGTTGCACGTCCAGTATATACTTTCTCATTGCATAGAACATTTGAAAATAAATAAATCTTAGCATTCCTTGAAGGAATGCATATCGTCCTTTACTTGTCATTCCAGAATTTGATTCATGTTAATAGTTAAAGCTGTTTTAGTTTATATATAGTGTTATGCACAATCTCATGCAATGTTGTGAGATCTTTCATTAGATTACCTGCGATACTGCTCAAAAATGTGTTGAAGATGACTCTCAGCTACTACTACCTCAAATTTTAGCTCTATGTCTGTAAAATTGACTGAGTTGTAGCCATTTTGTCTAGACTCAGGTAAAGTTGTGGTAGCCAACTTGAATTGGGATAACTCCAAAAGTTAGTCAGTTGCAGATATGAATCCATTTAGAAAGCTTTATTCAAGTCCACCAACTGGTTCATGAGATATTTTGCTTACTGAAATATTGTGGACCCCAATAGTTAATGGCATCATTTTACCTGTGACGGCCATCTTAAATGGATTTGTCACCAAAAGTTAATCAGTTGTACATACAGTATATATCCAATTATTACTTTCTGAGATATGAATTATAATCTGCTCTCTAGTTTATGACATGTTTTGCTAATGCTACAGAAAAAAATGAACACATTCAAAGGCAAAACCATTAAAAGCCTCTTGCCTTCAGTGGCGTACGATAATGCAGATAGATGCAGACTTCTGGTGAAATATTTTGCCCTCAGTCACATACAGCATGCAATAACTCGCTTTGTTATTTTTAACGTTCAGCTATATTTCATAGATTCACATGAAAGGCCTTAGTCATACGTGTCTGGCTCAGTTCTAATCCCTGAACGCTGCAGCCTGGTAACTGTACAGGAAAGCAGAGATGTGCCAGTATGCATCTTTCTGCTGTGCACAGTTGGCCAAGCATTTTAATGGTGAAACAGGGATGACTTTTTCATTGTTACAGCCAAGCAGAGTGGAGTTAAAGCTTTTATAATGCCACAAATGGTTAGGAATACCGCCTCCCCCTAGCAGGTCTTTTATTTGTTGCAGGAGAGGGAAAAGGCTAAAGCTCACTGTGGGAGTAATCTGTGAGCGTTAGTGGAAGTCAGGGCATCGCAGATGTAGCATGTGAATGATGACCCATAATGAAAACAGTCTAATAGCATAATGAAGCTCCCACATTACAGTCAGTTAACAAAGAGATGAAGGGGCGATTATAGCACAGGAAGAGATCAAAAGTCAGGCACGAGCGCCCGCCGCACCAGATGCATCCACACCGCGCACTATAAATGACCTTTGTGATTTGCAGGCCGGTGTAATTCTGCAGTTGAGAGGACTAAAACGAATAAACACTGAGCCACTTAAAGGCTGTTAAAGCAAACCTGAGATTCTGTTCTCCCTTTATTACCAGTCTATGTGTGTGTGTGTGTGTGTGTGTGTGTGTCTCAGCTGTTTACCTCTGCAAAAGAACAATGCAAAACAAAGCACGTCTGGAGCTTGCGGACTATGAAGCTGTAAGTAGAAGTCTTTTTGGTGTCCTACTATTTTCCACTTCACACATCTGCTCTGTTTTTATGTGCTAGCATCCCTCACAAGGCTACTTTCCCTTAATAAAAACAGTTGGTTTTACTTTTTATCTTCACAGGAGAGCTTAGCAAGGCTACAGAGAGCTTTTGCTAGGAAATGGGAGTTCATCTTTATGCAAGCAGAAGCACAAGCAAAGTAAGTTTCTACTAGGGGTTGAACAACTACATTTTTTTAAAAAGTCGACTTCAACATGATAAATTGCCGACGTCAACTAGTCGATGTGACATCGTACGAACTCAAGACTATGTCATATTCACAAAAAAAAGTAATTTATTATTTACAAAAAATAGAACAACAAAACATCAGGATCATATATTTATGCTCCTATCATTTATCATACTGCAAACAAGTCACAGGAAAAACAAAACTATTATTAAGCTGTATGCTGGTGAAGATTCTCAGTCATCCAGGACATGATGAATTCAAAAAGCGTTCAATACAAAAACAACTAAGCTGCAAAAGTTAGTTTTATTTTATTTAATTCACTAAATAAACCACTGCGGCAGTGGTGGCAGTGGTGGATTCTCCACCGGCAGTGGTGCGTGGTGGTAGATTCTCCACCGACAGTGGTGCATGGTGGTGGATTCTTCATTGGCGGTGGTACGTGGTGGTGGATTCTTCACTGGCGGTGGTGCGTAGTGGTGGATTCTCCACTGGCATTGGTGCACAGTGATGGATTCTTCACCGGCAGTGGTGCACAGTGGTGGATTCTTCACCGGCAGTGGTGCACAGTGGTGGATTTTCCACTGGCGGTGGTGCACAGTGGTGGATTCTTCACCGGCAGTGGTGCACAGTGGTGGATTCTTCACCGGCAGTGGTGCACAGTGGTGGATTCTCCACCGGTAGTGGCGCGCAGTGGTGGATTCTTCACCGGCAGTGGTGCGCGGTGGTGGATTCTCCACCGGCGGTGGTGCGTGGTGGTGGATTCTTCACTGGCAGTGGCGCACAGTGCTGGATTCTCGACCGGCAGTGGTGGATTCTTCACCGGCAGTGGTGCACAGTGCTGGATTCTCGACCGGCAGTGGTGGATTCTTCACCAGCAGTGGTGCGTGGTGGTGGATTCTCCACTGGCGGTGGTGCCTAGTGGTGGGTTCTCCACTGGCAGTGGTGGATTCTTCACGGGCAGTGGTGCAAAGTGGTGGATTCTCCACTAGCGGTCGTGCACAGTGGTTGATTCTCCACCGGCGGTGGTGCACAGTGGTGGATTCTCTACCGGAAGTGGTGCACGGTGTTTAAAATTTAAAAATTTGCGAGATATCCTAGAATCGATTAGTCGATTCAACCCCTAGTTTCTACAAGAACCACCCGCACTCATTGATGACTCCATTATAAAGGAGTCATCTTGTTTTTATCACATGAAAATTTAGTGTTTTACTTTTCCTTTTTCGTAACTAACAACACACATTTTCACTGATGAAATGCAAATTTTACATGCATTAGGGTAAATTTATTCTAGATCTAGACACATGCTGTATAGAACAGTTCTAACTTGTTTTTAATCTCCAGAGTCGACAAGAAAAGAGACAAGATAGAGAGGAAAATTCTCGACAGTCAGGAAAGAGCATTCTGGGATGTGCACAGACCAGTGGTGAGCGAAATAACCGTCTGTGCTGTTCTGACATCATCACTGATATTATCGCAAACTTTTTCTTTTATGTAAAAGAAAATATAGCGTTAAAAAAGTTAACGCTGACCGTATCTGCTCTCCATGTGGTAAAGCACTGACACACGGTGGGTTATTTTTATCCATTCCACACATTTCACTCTCAGTAGGGGCGCATCAAGCTGTTTGTGAGAGAAATAATGCTTTGAGCAGTCACTAGAACTCCATGGTTTATACGATTTATATATGAGCTAAAGATGCTACCTGTAACATTTAAATGGCAGAAAGGCAAACTCAGTGCTCATCCTCTGATGAAATGCCACATCAATAACTGTCACAACACATGAGCTTCAGTGCTGCTCTTTACCTTGTTCCTGAACTCTTGCTTTGCATTAGCATTTAGCCCTGCCCCCTCCCCCCCCCAAGGTTAAAGGGCTTTCTTTGCTCGGTTTCTCCCCACGTCCAAACGCTCGACAGCTAATTGGAAAATAACAAGTTCAATTTATGCGTCCTTGGAGCAACATAATCAATATTAATTCAAATTTCACAGTGACGCCGTCAAGCTTCTTAGCTCTGTTCTCCAGGATGAGACCTAGATTAAGACCACTTGTTCAATCAACCCGTATCTGTGCTCTGATTTCCTGCTGGTTTGAGTTTTTTCCCCCTCAAGATCTGGCACATTTGCTGTTCAATTAGCCAGCACCTGACACATCATCTAAGACTCTATGCTCAGCTGACTGGATGAGCTGAAATTCACGTAGTTGTGAACAGTTTTCCGCCTCTCTTCACAGCCTGGATGCGTGAACACAACAGAAGTTGACATAAAGAAGTCCTCCAGAATGAAAAATCCTCACAAAACGAGAAAGGTATGCCTCTTTTAAACATCTGTGTTGGTGGCAGCAAGTTACATTTTTGACTGAAGGTTTAAGGCTATCTACTTACAATTTTTTTTCTGGCCTAGTCAGTGTATGGGCTACAGAATGATATACGTACTCACAGCCCGACGCACACCCCCGCTCCAGAGGCCAAACAGCCGACAGAAGATGAACTGCAGGAACAGGTTAGACCAGCAGGTGGCAGTCAAGGTTTATCGACAAGCGCAAGAATTTTAGGTCATTTTAATAAAAACGAAGTTGTGGATAAATATGCATGATATAAAACAGAGTGAATGTTGTACAAAATAAATATATGTACAGTATATGCACGTGCAAACAAAAAAACATCTTATTAGGCGTTATGAAATTTGCAGACCAGATTTTCTTTTAATTATTGGAGTTTACTTAATGGTTATTGTCCGCTGCTTTTTTTTTCAGATCACATTTTGGCAATTACAATTAGACAGACATCGACTGAAAATGTCCAAGGTGGCAGAGAGGTGAGCGATGTTCTTTGTGTCTTTATTGAGTTTAGCCATCGATCTGCTTATTGAGCTGTTTAACGGCCTAACATGATGTGAAATTGGGAACGTTAGTGACCTTGAGGGATGTTTGGATTCAGACAAAATGTTCAGTTCTTGCCAGCACTGATGCAGCAAAATACTAGAAGTGTCAGTTTGTTTGTTTGTTTTTTTACACCAAAAAACGAGCATTTTCAAGCATAAGCTTTCTATCCTAAAACTAGGTCAAAACATTTGCCTTTCATTTCAGTTTGAGGAGTTTTGACAGTTAGATTTTATGAGTAAACAACCAACTCATCAAAAAAAAAAAAAAAAACTACTTTAAATGTCTTCATCTTCAGTAAAGATTGTTTTATTTCATGTGTTGTTTTCATTAAAAAAAAATACAGTTTGCTGGGTTACACAGAGCAGTATGTTGAATATGACCCCTTCCTCACGCCTCCGGACCCATCTAATCCCTGGATCTCAGATGACACCACAGTCTGGGAGCTCGAAGCCAGGTGGACGCATGCCACTAAAGAATGTTTGAATAAATGCATTATTAAAATATCACAGCTGGGTGGGTTATGTGACATTCTGAAGTCGTGTTCCCTCCTCCAGTAAGGAACCTGGCCAGCAGAGGGTAAAGAGGTGGGCTTTTGGCATCAATGAGGTTCTCAAAGACCCTGTGGGGAGAGAGCAGTTCCTCAAGTTCCTTGAGTCTGAATTCAGCTCTGAGAATCTCAGGTATGTAAACGAGTTATGATTCATGAAATTTGTTAGAAATTAACTTTGTTAAAAATCCATGCTAAGTCCATGCTTAGGAATAAAAGTCTCATAATCAGAAAAATAAAGCAGAATTAAGGTTGTGATTTCTTTTAACTTGTTGAAATTTTATATAGGGAACTGTTGTACAAGTAACACGACACATCAAATAACTATTAAAACATCATAAATAACAAAGATGTATCTATCAGCATACATGTTAAAACCACCTGTTAACCACTGTGCCCAGAAACAGCTCTGATTATTTAGGACAAAAACAGCTTTCTGTGGTGATTGAAGTTTGTCCTGTCCCGTCAGGAGGCTGCAGGGTCTCATTCAGGAATTAACCTGGGATTTATTGTAGGTTTAAAGTTACATTTAGCGTGCCTTTTTAGTAAAACACTGACCAAAAGAAGAAAAAAAAAGAGACAAAACCATTAAACAAACGGAAAACAAAACATGGAAGTACATATTTCCAAGTCTGAACAATTAATCAGAGTTATGGTAGATGTAGCTGTAGAATGTCAAATGTTAGATATTGTACAGTAGTCCCTCGTTTATCGCGGTGGACCCGTATCCTGAAGCCTCGCGATAAGTGAAAAACCACAAATTAGGAATTGTAGTACAAGTAGTAAATGGTAGTTTATTTTAGTATTTCTCTATATAGGCTATATATATTAAGGCGTTTTAAACCCTTTCCACACTCTTGCAATATTCTAAACAATGTTTCTAAACTCTAAACGCTCTAAAAGAGCACAGAATGTCATAATTTCAGCTCCCTGCCTCCGCTGCTCTCAGCCACCTGCAAACGCTCTTGACCACGCCCACTTCTCGGCTCTGCACAGTTGATCAGCTGGTCAGCTGCAGGAGGGAGCTTAGCCTGCAGTATGGGCTGCACAAAGGTGCAGCAGGTGCTAAATAATTTAAAATAATTTATTTTAAATAAAAATTCCATGCCGAGTCCAATCTTATTTTGAAAAACCGCAATAGAGCAAGTCCACGATAAACGAACTGAGAAGTAGCAAGGGACTACTGTACTGTTTTGTAATCAAATTAGCTGTAACAATATTTTTATTACCACTTCGGGAAAAAAATCATATATAAAGAAATATGAGACAGATATATTTTCCATGGCTACATTCGATTAAAATTTAATTCTGTTTTATATTTTCACAATTGATTCAATGATGAATTGTGTTACTTGACACAGTGCTTGTAGCTTAAGACAGATTTCCCCATGGCATATATTATGTGCGTATAATCTGATTTAAAATGCTGTTTCATATCTCTATAGCTTTCCGTGATCTCTTCTCTTGTTTGTCGTATGGTTTAAAATTGACAAATCAAACATTGTCTATTGTAGAAGAGAGTATAAAAGAGGCTACAAATATGCTGTTGAATAAAATTGTGTTCCAATGAAGCACAAGACAAAAAAACTGCTTACTAAGATCAAATAAAGTGCTCATACACCTTGAAGTGACTAAAAGTATTCCATACTTTTTAACTCGCACACATAAAAGTAAAATAGTCACAGATGTATACAATGTACATGTTAAGAAAAATATACTACACATGGCCATAGTGTTAGGTGTGAAGAAATCAGATTCTCTGACAAAAGAAAGAAAAAAAGAGAAAAAAAAAAAAGGAAAAAAAAAAGAAAGAAAAAAGAGAGAGAAAAAAAAATAAAGATTCTCTGACGAAGAGAGAACTGATTAATATCTGTCTTAAATTGGTTTTTAATCACCGGACAAGTTGCTCACATAATTACAGGTGTTAAAACCATGAAAGAAATCCCTGCAGCCATTGCTTCGTCCCAATGATGAGATTTAACTTTGAGACATTAGAAGCTCACGGTGGCACATTTGGTAGAGCTGTTGCCTCTCAACGAGAAGTTCGTCAGATCAAATCCCAGCCTGGGTGGAGTTTGCATGTTCTCTTCGTGCATGCGTGGGTTTTCTCCGGGTACTCCGGTTTCCTCCCACAGACCAAAAACACGCATGTTAGTCTGATTGGTAACTCTAAATTGTCCCTAGGTATGAGTCAGTTAATGGTTGTTTGTCTCTATGTGTCACTGTGATTGACCGGGTGCCCCCGCCTCTCATGTTGACTGCTGGATATGGGTACCCGTGACCCCCATGACCCAGAAAGGAAGAGGTGTGCAAAGATAATGAATGGATGGATATTACTGTATAAACGCGTATATATATATATATATATATATATATGTACAACTGTTAGAAATAAAAAGACAATCTATGTACTCATGGTAACAAACTCCATCAAAGGTACATAATAATAAATGTCTCTGGTGCTCCCTCTGATGGTACGAGTTTGAACTGTCTCTGCTTAAAGCTTTGGGTAAAATCTCCAACATTTCAACATCTACTCCAAAAATAGCATGTTCAGCAAGACAAATGCAGGTGTTTATTGTTATGTACCTCCTATGATTTGTTTTTAAATTCATCTAGTTAAAGCAGTTTTGCAAAAGTGTCAAGAATCAAGAAGAGACACCTCTCGGGTGAAGCTTAATTATCAGTGTGCACTGTAATGTGTGAGATTTTCATGAGCAAGGTTATTTTACATAAGACATATTTTACCTGCAGAGATTTAGGTCTTTTTATTTTTATTTTATGCAGACGCTCATGCTAAACTACACTAAGATCTACACTACCACTAAGATCCTGTGATGTTTAAAGCTCTGCCAGCACAGATCAGATTGGATGTCAGTGCAGATTTTGAAAAATATGATCCATTTCCTGTTGAATAATCAGTGGATAAAGTTCAGATACAGAAATATGTGATTTACATAATGTTTCCATCAGCTACAGTAGTTTTTGTTTTAATCCAGGAGTATTGCGTTAAGAAGCACATTAATGTTCTAACTGTTGGAATTTAGGTTCTGGCTTGCCGTCCAGGAGCTAAAGAAGCGTCCCATCAGAGAAGTACCGACCCGCGTTCAGGAAATCTGGCTGGAGTTTCTGGCCCCCGGGGCGCCCAGTGCCATAAACGTCGACTCCAAGAGCTACGACAAAACCACCCAGAATGTCAAAGATCCCGGACGCTACGCATTTGAGGATGCACAGGCGAGTCTTTATCCAGGAGCAAATTATACAGATACAGTAGTCCCTCGTTTATCGTGGGGGTTACGTTCCGGACCACCACCCCCACCGTCACTTCCCCCGCAAGAAGTGAAAACCCGCAAATTTCATTTCATTTAGTTGTTTTTATTTTATTTAACACTTACGTTAAATTTACATAGATTTCTGAGTCGAAACAACAAACCAAAACAGTTCAGTCAACTAATACATTTAAATCAGCTAAAGCAAAAGTTTATTAATCAAGATAACTGGAGAATGTTTATTCGCTTAACTTAAAATTTTAAGTTGAGCAAGGAACGCCTTTTTACTCACCAGTTCTGCAGAATACAGCAGCTCGGTTCCGGTCCGGTTCGATCAGCTCTCTGCAGCCATTGAGCACCAAGATGCTTTAGAGAGAGCCGGACCTTCGAAGAGCCAGCACAAAACCACACAATGGTCCCGATTGAGTCCAACTTCGATGAACAAAGTCCCGGTGAACTTTGGAGAAAACACCGGACCTCCAAGCAACACCTCGAGAGGCCTCATGGGCCGGCAAGCAACACTCAGATTAACCGCTGAGGCTGAAAGTCCGGTTCTGGTCCAATTCCCTGTCGGTTCCGTACGGTTCTCTGCATCCACTGAGCGCTGAAGTCACTATGAATAAGAACCAAACTGTTTTGGATTCGATCAAAACTTTCCCTCCAGTTCAGCAGAAAGCAACTTTGGCTTCTGGGTAGTGCACGGTTGACTTCTGGGTAATGTAGTTCTTTTTTGACTGATGATACAGAGTTGAGAGAAAACTACAAAATGGCGGCACCTGTCTGAAGTATTTTTTTTCGTAAAGTTTTTACTGTATCCCATACTGTCCCAATTACGTGAATAATACAGTATTGAAGTTGACAATCGTGTGTGGTGCACAATCTTTTATTTTTATTTTATTTTATTTTTTGTCGCGTACAATCTTACTTTGAAAAAACACGAAAGAGCGAGTTCGCAAAGGTCGAACCACGAAGTATCAAGGGACTACTGTACAATAAATCTGATGTTGGTTTTGTGCAACTAAAAGATCAATGAAGAAAAAGTTTGGCTTACTTTTCTTACAACGGCTACTTGCAGCTGCAAAAAACAGCTGCACACCTGCTGGTGGTAGTTCATGTCTCACAACCGTCTGCTGTACCTGCAGAATATTGCACTTCCTGATTTCTATTCAAAGCACTGTTTGAGCTGTGTCTGGTGCTTTCATCCCTCATTTTCACACCTTGTTTCCACAACAGGAACACATCTACAAACTGATGAAGAGTGATTCTTATAGTCGTTTCATTCGTTCCAGTGCCTACCAGGAGCTATTACAGGCCAAAAAGAAGGTGAGCTCCTGAAACAAAGCACAAAATAAACATTTTAAATAGATGGCAGTGCATGGGTGTGTGTGCAGCCCTGTAATGGATCATTTGTAATTAGCCAATTAGTCAAAATGGGTCTTGCAAAAATAAACTGATCTAAAATGTGTAAGTAATTCCTGAAAATTGAGGTGTAACAGGTCAAACCAAAGCACATTTAAAGCAAACTAATGACAGAAATAGCAAAGATTGAAAAGATGGCATTTTTTCAGGTGTGAACTGCAACAACCAATCAGGACACACAAGGAAATTCCAGTAAAAAAAGAAAACACAGGGGCTGTCATATACAGAGGACAGAATGTGACCAAATGAAATAAATTAAAGCACAATAATGAAATGAATCATTTAATTATTAAACAAATCATAAAATAATTAAATAAAAAATTAAATTATTAAATACATCAATAAATATACAATTAAATTATTAAATACACAATTAAAATATTAATAATTTAATTGTATATTTAATTATTTAATTATGTATTTAATAATTAAATGATACATTTAATTGTTATGTATGTATTATGCATTTATTTATTTCATTTTGTCACATTTCGTCCTCCATAGTCATAACATGACAACTTCTGATTTCCTTTAGTGTGATTACGTGTCTAAAACCTACTCTGTCTCACACCACCCACACTTTCCTACAACTTGTTATTCTGGCAATGAATAAATCAGTAATATATTTAGATATTTTAAACAATAAAATGTTTTTATATGCGTTTTTTTCTGATCAGCTCAACTACATATAATGTCTCTTTTTGTTTTTTCACAGAAAAGTAAGAATTTGTTCTGAAGCCTCTTGCTTTCAGGTAATGTCTGATGTTAAATCTCATAAGTTATCACCATCATTAATGCTGCTAACTGTGGCAGATTTTGTGCAATGTCCACTCAGTATTGATCATTTTACAAATATGGCACCACATGCTCAAATACATCCATCCATCCATCTATTATCTTTTATCCGCTTCTTCCATTTTGGGTCACGGGTCGCTGGTGCCCATGTCCAGTAATCACTGTGCGAGGGGCGGGGTACACCCTGGACGGGTCGCAAGTCCTGCTGAAATACGTGTCTAACTTTGTTCAACGTTCAAACTCCTCGGTGGTCCTTTACACTTGTTTTTTTACTGGCTTATATATGCAAACATATTTGTAAATTAGTTTTACTGTTTATTTATATTCACTAGTGAAATGTCCTCAACAGGCAATGTTGTTGGATATCAGAATGACTGCAGAGCACAGTTGAAACACGGGTAGACATGAACACAGTTTAGACTAAGTCAGGGGTTCCCAGTACATTGATCGCAATCTATCGGTTGTTCAAAGAGTCATTATGAGTAGATTGCATGGCATTAAAATATAAATAGACGTCAGCATCCTCACTATGAAATTTGTCATTTAATTGAAGCCCACGACGTGAAACTGCAGCCTTTCTGCTGCATTTCGGCCGCTCATTTATACTACAACAACCGTCATTACGGAACCCCCCCGCACACACACACACACACGCTGTGTTGCAAAATCCTCCTCAAGTGTAAAGTCCCACATGCGCACTGCAAGCGGCTGTGATCAAGTTTTTCTGTACTAACAACAGTTATAATAAATGGCAGAGAGTGGAGTGTTTTTGTGCTACTCACCCTTTTTTCAGCTTGTAGGAGCAAAACTAATAAAATCCAGGGTCCAAAGAGACGTTAGTGTATTCACCAGTTTGGACGTAAACATGCAGACGCTGCATGCACAATGAATGCAGTTGAGTCCTGCGTCAGGGTTGCCAGATAAATTTAAAATGTCTCATTTACCACCTCCTTTTTTGTGTACATGCTCACCAAACACAACACACACCTCATCTTAAAATATCTTCACTCAGCACATTTGACAGTTTAGGTCAAATTATTATCATTTTAAAGCCACAGTACTATAGTTCGTAATTTCTTATCTGGCAACCCGACTGACATGGAAACTACTGTTTTTGTGTAAACCTGCTCATTTTTTGTTTACTATCTCCAATAAACATTGCAAAAAAATTCCACTTAACATTTCCAGACGTTGTTCTTGTGTAAACAGGGCCTTACAGTAGTTAGATCACTTTGACTTGGTCATTTTAAAGGTAGCTGCATGCTGAAAAACTGTGAGCACCCCTGGACTAAGTGTATTTTTAAGAACTGGAAGTAGGCATGAATATATCTAGACCACAATGCATCACAAAATACTGACTTTGAACATGAGCATTAATTAGTAACTGTTAATGGTCTGCTGCATTAAATTTGAACCATGCCTCATTCCAGCATCATGTAAATTTGTCTGTTTAGTAGATGCTAAATGTACATTTTACACAAATAAGCATCATTATATTTTAGGTTTAATGGTGAATCTGTTGTTTTAAAGAATCATACTTCTTAGAGTCAAAGTGGAGGTGTCAGCTGGTGAAGCCAAATGCAGGTGGAGTGTTTGAAGGCACGTTAAAGAGCTTAAATATATGTAAATTTTATAAAAGGTATACCAATAAAAATGGCCAAGAGAAGCAGCAGTTCCACTGAGTGTAATGACTGATATTATGCAGGAAATCTAATTACCAGATGAGAACCAGGTGGAACAAAAAGCTAGATGAAGCCACACACACATTTTATGTTTTCTCTCTGTCTTTGTTGTTTTGTTAGTTTTTTAAATACCATTGATGGTTTTTTTTTTCTCAGTTGTTAACAATTTTAGGTCACTTTTAATTATTAACGGTGACAGAATTAAGATGAAACAAGACAGATGCTGGAAAAAGTAGCATAAAATTAAATAAATCTTTATGTAGGTTTCTAGGGCAAAAAGTGATCATGTATGCGCAAAATAAGCAGCTTCGTTCTGTATCTCCTGACTACATGGATACACCATAAATGTAGATTTTAAAAGTTGTTTTGGAATGTGATTTTTTTTTCTTCTTCACAAAAGATCTAAAGTTGTGTAGATAGAGCCAAATTGAAACAAAGCAGTGAACAACTAAAATAAAGTGTTTCAACAAAATAAAAGCTCCACCAAGAACAATTAAACAGAACGAGAACCACAAAATGCAAAATAATTACATAAAATGGAAAAAATTAAATAAGTGAGGACAAAGACAAAGAGAAAAACAATCACTCCTTTAAAAAAAAAAATTGTATGCATAAAAAGTGCAGCCAAAGAAGTTACACATAATTAAATGGTATTTTGAAATATTATCAGCCTAACCATGATGAGCTTCTTTTTTTTATGTACCATAAACCAAGTGAATTAAATAAACATGTATCTTGGCAAACTTTGCACTGCTGTTTGACAGAAACATCTTAAAGGAAAAAGTCAAAACCTCTAAAGACATTTTTTTTTTAACATTTAAAATCTCTGTCTTCTCGAGCACAGGAGGGACCACTGGCAGACAAGAGATTGACAAGTTGTGTGCCGTCATCTTTGAACCAATGGCTTCCCTCTCTCTGGGACATTCAGAATGGGACCATCTCATCTCTTCATCATCCTTGTCCGTCACCTGCTCTTGGCTCAGCCAGATCAGCCGATCCGCCTGTTCATCTGTCGTCCACAGGAAGTTGCATGTCCACGGAGAGAGCGCCCCTGCTTCTCTCTCTCTCTCTTCTTTCAGAACAGATAGTATGCCAGTATTTTCAGAAAGAAGGCACTGCTGGACTTGTGAGGACAGTGAGACGGGGTAAAAGAAGAAGGTCAAATCCAGTGATCCAGTTCTTTCCATTGAAACTGCTCGGTCGGAGCCTTTTCTCTCACTTCCAGCTGAAATCAATGATGTCAGAGAGAAATAAGAAAACAGAACAAAAAAAAAAAAACGTAGAATGACAGCTCAAACCGATAACCCAATCCCATCGCTTTACATGAGGTCACAGATAATTTGTTGCGCTAAGGGAAGTGTTGTGCCGAATGAATATACAAGATATATATACATATATATTACAATTCTGATTATTTATTGTGCATCTAGTTTGCTTTTCATTATTTTATTGCACTAAAAATAATTAGCACATATGGTTGTCATTGCACCTGTAAAGTCCAAATTTACAACAAAAAAAAAAGTTGTCTCCTGTCTTATGTAGAACACAATTCTTTGTTATTCTCTCGTGCATTTATTTTTATACCATATTTAAATACACTTTTACTTACTTGTATTATTAAAGTTGATCCTCTATCTGTTACCAAGGCCTGAGCTTGTTTTATTTTTCATTCTGTCTCCACGTATATCTCCTGATAATCGATGTCGGTTCTTCACTGGCCCATACATTTGTTATTATTTGTTACAACAACAAATAATTTCCCTTTGGGATTAATAAAGTATTTTTGAATTGAATTTGAAATGAGAGATGCTGCACATTTAAGGAGGAATTTTCAAACTGTGCACTTTTACCTTCGACCAGCAGAGAGCGATGACTTATTTCTCAATGACAAAAAAATCTAGAACCTCAAAGTTCAGCAAAATTTAGATAAATGTAACTTTGTCATGCAAAAGTGTCATCATCTTCAGGCCCACTGAGAGGGTTATTGTTCAGATTTGAGCCCTCTGATGTTTTGCAGGGTCTGTTGATGTTTCAGCTCTTTGATGGAAGAAGTGACCGTCTGTGTTTTCAGTGTCTGTGCCCAGCAGTCAGTTCAGTGAGAACCACAAACAGACAAACATCTTTGTCTCGGTTCCATCAAGGAATTTGAACTGTGGCATTTTTCAAAGCATGCACTCAGAACGTCTGGGTACATGCGTATGATGATTTATGGATTGGAGGTCATGTTTTTAATGTGATGTGGTTTCAGTGCCAACGGGAAGTTTGCAGAAGGCCGTTGTTTGTTCATTGTCTCCACTTTTGTTGTTTTTGGTGGCCAAGTGTCCTATTATTTCTGAAAATGGGGGTGGAAATGTGGAATTGCTCAGTTAAAACAGTGAAAAGAAGATACTTGCATTTTGTGCTGTGCAGAAGTCTTGAGTCATTTGTCATTTCTTTATATTATACTTTGCAATCAAGAAGGCAGACTTTAAATCCAGGCTTTCCGAGTCTTTCAACAGTTTTCTCTGGCCTTTGGCATTTTTAACTCATTTTTAGTCCAGCTCCTAACCCATTTTAGATGACTTTTTATTATGTTTTGTCTGTTCAACTCAGACATATGGATAATTCAGGCACATAACAGTCTCCTAAACTCAAGGGATGAACCAGTGTGGTGTACACATGGCAACAAACCCATTTAGCATCAGATCTTTAGGTAAGAAGCAGTTTGGCAATAAGATTCAGTTTGTTCCCATTGTTTTAGTTGAATGCATGAAAATTACCAAAAACAACAGTTTTCCAGCTTCGTAAAGAAAAAACTTAGATACTGCTGCTGATAATTATTTAAGTTTAAACATCCTTTTGTTGTCCTCATGTTGTCGCACATATTATACATGTTAAGTATAGACTGCACAAATTCAAAAAAGTTCAAGGCAACAACAACTGGACTTTATTTCGTAACAGAAGACTTGCTCTTCTCATCCGAGGAGCTTTCTCGATTCAAAGAACAGAGAGTGTGGGGTTCGAGTTATGAATCTGAGGTAGATACATATGCAGATTGCCCGATCACTCCTCACAATAGGGGTTCGTTAGAGTCTAATCCGGTCATGTGGATGAAATTCCTGATGGGTGTGAAAATGACTTGGCATCAGGCCTAAAGCTGCATTATTGAAATCTGAGCAGTGGGAGATGGATCGACAGGCCATGAAATTTGTCATTGTGGCCGAAAACACAAGATCCTGGATACAAGCAGCTGAACTGAGCTTCCGTCGTGGCTGAGCTCAGCCTTATAGATGGGAGTAGGGCGCTGCTCCTTCACATCATAAGGAGTTTGAGCATCTGATTAAGATGTCACCTGGATGCATTCATTTGGAGGTTTTCCCGAGCATGTCCCACTGGGAAGACCTCATGGAAAACTCAGATCTCATTGGAGAGTTGTGCATCTTCTCTGACCTGGGAGAGTGTTGTTATGTGTGTACGGGTTTCTCTCCTGCGTCTGTTGAATCTACAACCTGACTACAGGTAAGGGGTAAAAGATGGAGATGGAAATGTTTAAGAACTGGACTGAAAGAGTGAAAAAGCAGTAAAGTCCGAAGAAAATAACCTGAAAAATCCTGGACATCTTTATCAACACCAATTAAAAAAGGAAAAGTTTGATCAAATTTTAAATAGATTCTGAAATATTTAGCACTGTATTACAGCCATATACAAATATACAATAAAACATACACCTAGGTTTGCTAGGAGTTGACACAACGTGGGGTCTTCTTTTTTTTACTTTATGTGGCTCATTATTGCTTTTTTAAATAATTTTGAGTGTCATAAAAAACTTGGTGTAGCAGGACATGAAAGTAAAAACTGACAGACAAAGGTAGACATACACAGAGACGTATATAAATGAAAACAGAAATTTTGTCTGATTCCCACAGTGACCACGACCAATAAGAAATAACCCTCCCAGTTTTGAGGAAGGAGGTGGGGTGGCAGGGATTCAAACTAAGGCAGGCTTTGCAGTGACTCAAAGACAGCCTGCAGACAGTCTCCTCAGAACCACGATTTGAGCTTACTGTGACTAATCTGGAGCCGTTTCTCTTCAACTAGAAACTTTAAAAGAAAGCAATAAAGGTAGAGCAAAACGAAGAGAAGATACAAGGTCAGGAGGATGTGAAACTGAGCAGGTCCTTCAATATATATATATATATTTACATATTTTTACAATATTTAGCATCAAAAAGAGACTCCAGAACAAGCCTGAGGATACTACAGATTATGTTGCCATGGAAACCAAAACCTGGAAGCGGACACAAGGACCACTGAACGTGGACAACCTCCTTTGACCTCCATCCTCAACGCAATACAGCCTTGCTGTACACTGGTGAGAGGTACATAAACTTAGTCGTTTTTGTTTTCATTCTGGACCCACTTATTTAACTTGTACACAAAGAAAATTGGTTTAAATGTTTAAGAGACAAGTTTTAGCTGTCTGCTGCATGCCGCTTTATTTTAAATAAACCGTTGTAAAACTTTATGATGAACACATTTGCATGCAACTTTAATTACTGTTATTTAAAGCGAGAGCATTTTAAATAGGACACAAGCGTTGCAGATGTTCAGCTTAAAGTGCAAGAGAAAACATTTTGAGCTGCATTTCATCTTTCTGATCAACTATAAAAAAACGTCACACCGAGTGCTGATTTGACATATCCCATGTGAATGTGAGACCCAGTGACTCAGTACAGAACCACATACTTTTTTTTGGGGGGGGGGGGGGGGGGGGGGGTAGTTCTACAACTATTCTATATTTCTGCCAAGAGAAATGGTTCGACTCCAACTAGGGCCACCCATTGTAAAAAAATAAATTCCTTCAAGGTAAGGTGTCCTAAATAACTGAATTACTATAATTAGTGGCTGGAGGTTACAGATAATTAGTGTTATGAGTGAGAGAATTAGAGAGTGATGACGGAGGGTTGTAGTGATCCTCTTGGTGAGATTAAAAGTCTGTTGAGCTTTTCCAGTAAACACACCAAAAAAAAACAAACAAAAAAAAAAAACAAGGAGATGATCACAGCTAAATTGTCTTCTGCATGTTCTAAAAGAAACCAAAACCTCTCAGCTCATTTGAACAGGTGTAAAGTTATACGAGTGTTCATTTTGTCTAACGTTACACATCTATGGTAATGTTTGTCCAGGTTGGTGTGTGAACATTTTTTGTGTGTGTGCTTCTGTGGTATGTGTGCGTTGAACGGTGAGGGGTTCGCCTTCTGATCCTGCTTACAGCTCCGGTGACTGCACCACCTTGTACAGTCTGTTCTGATGTCAAAGGGGATTTAGCTCATAGACACCCTGTCGTTTCTTCAGCAACCTAAAAATATAGGAAGCCCCAACAGGCAGAACAGTTACATTTATACTGTATTTTTCGGACTATAAGGCGCATTAAGTGAAACAAAGCAGTCGGATAAGTCAAACTTTATTCAACTCATTCACAATAACCACATACAATTAGTTTGAGAATGTTACCACAACCAGAATTAATACATAAGGTGCACCTGATTATAAGGTTCACTGCTGACTTTTGAGAAAATTTAAGGATTTTAAGTGCGCCTTATAGTCCAAAAAATACAATGTTTGTATACGTTAATACAAGTTAGTGCGTCAAATGGCTCCCTAACAAACATGCATAAATCTTAAATATGCCTACTTGTGGCAACATTTACAATATGAATAAAATAGGTCTTGAAAAAACTAATTTTAAACCCTGTAGCAAGCAGGAGCTTGTTGGCGCATCGATCTCACGTCTTGTAGGCAAACACTGAGGCGGATTCTAACAGAGAGCTTGTATGGGAGTATTGCAGATGGCATGAAAAATACATCCCAATTAAAGTTTTGTTAAAAGTATTTAAGATGTGGGGAAAGAGCTGTTACCAAATGTGAATTTAATGACTTTAGAAGTGTAATAGGAGGAAACGAAGCCAAAAACCTGCAAACAGAAGGAGGTGGTAATTGTCATCTTCATCTGCAAAGGGAACACCTGAACGATCATAACACCTCTAATTGGTTATCATCCTCTACTGAAGCACTTTATGGCGCTGAAATAAAGTAGCTGTCAGTACTTATTATATCTGGTTTAGAGTCATTGTTAAGATGAATTGTGGTGACAAATGGCTGCCTAAAGTGCCTTAAGCAGCCTTCTGGCAATGCTGGCATTAGATACATTTATATAGCAAAGCCCCTCACCCCCTTAAAGAACCCCCCCCCCCCCCCCCCAACCACTACCTGTCAATGAGCCAAAAGCCAAGTGTAGTTTGGGAAAATACACTCCGCAAACACGGATAATGACATGGTTCCTTTTTGTGTAATTGGCTTAGAGTGAAGACATTTCATTTACCTCTCCTTTTTCCATACTGTACATCCTGTGTATGTGAGTCTGTGTGTTTGTGTGAGAGAGAGAGCGAGGGAGACGGCACACATGTGGTTACACATTGATGTGTGTGAACATTTGTTCATGAGTGTGTGTGTGTGTGGCTGTCCGTGAGTGATTGAGGTTTGCGCTGCACGGTGAATTAAATGCAGTTTTACTGTAATTAACTGCACTTAGCAGTCTCTGTGTGAGACTTTCTGACGCACCAGTAATTGAGGCATCATGTTTTGTTTGTTTTAACCTGCCTTTGAAGACATGCTGGGAAGACGTTACACGTGGTTTGGTGGAAATACATCTGCGTGTACAAATTTGGAAGACCTAAAAAAAAAAAAAAAAAAAAGAGAGAGAATGTCTTTATTCAATCACTTTACGGCCAAATACTTGAAATATGAACACGTTTCGCAGCCACGCTGGCGACCATAATTAATTGGAGGGAGAAAAAAAAGAGGCTCATTGTTATCCAGACACAAACATTACCAAGGCAATCTCATGTAATTCTAAAAAAAAAGTTAATAATAATAAAATAAAACATGGAAAGTTCCCACTGATAATAGCTGTGTTCAAGGAGGCTTGTGTCTAGCTCAGCAGTCTTTTTAGTATTTGTTTCTGGTATTTGTAATTTCATTAGGGGGTTTAATTTGGGAACCAAGGTCTGCCACAGTTCAGTGAAGCAAATCCAAAGAATTTGTGGTTCTGGTACAACATAAAGCTGTGTTTGTGGACAATATTAGTCCTCAGCAGACAGAAAGGTCCAATGCAGTTTTGTCTCAGCATTAACACACAAAACCACAGTCTCCTTCCGTCTCAGGGACTGTGTGGTGATTAGTGTCAAGATAAAATAAAAGTCAAGCAGCTTGTAGACAGATATGCAGTTGTGGGAGGTGGGCCCAGACTGTCCAAGAAGCCCAGGCGGTGTTGGTTTCATTTCTGAGTAGGTCATCCGTCCCAGACCCCCATCATCTCTTCAACTCCCTTCATTTTATCGTTTTTCCCCAACCACTAACCACCCACCCATCCACTTTAGAGCTCCCCAAAAGTCTCAGAATTCTTACCCCAAAACCTCTGTTTGTTTTGCTGCAGAGATTACTGAGTATAGCTTGCCATAGACACCACTGTATTGTTTTTAGGCCGAGTTTGGGGTACATAGGAAGCTCAGCATCTGAATGGGGTATTCATCCTACTTTATGTACACAGTCATTTCGTTTGTTGTTTCCAAGTGTGTGTAGAAAGCTTTGCAGTGTAATGGGACAGAGAACAGAAAGGGGGGAAAAAAGTGCACAAACATTGAGAGCTTGCACACTGTGGGCCAGAAGTTCATGCAGTTAAACTTACTGTCAACACAGAATAAGACAGTACTGCGGAAGACAAATGAGACTGTGCTGTATACGAAAGGTACTGTAGATCACTGGAGGATGAAGGAAGGTCATGACTTCCTAATGCAGAAGGAGGCAGCAAGTGTCTTTTGGCTTCATGGTGAGTGTGTGGGTGTAGTACTCTAGAAAAAGAGACTACTTTTGTACATTATCTCTAAAAGATGGACAAACAGCTGTTGTGTAGCTTATGGTGAGCACAGCCAGGACATTGACAGAACTATTTGCGTGCTCCTGCAGCTTTGACAGAACTGCCATGGCCTAAGATCAAGGGCAATACAAACAAACAAACAACAAAACACTGCGAACAAAGTGGATTACTATCAAGTAATTTGTTCCATGTCAGAGTGAGTCACAAGTCCAAGGCTTGGGGGGGGGGGGGGGGGGGGGGGGGAGAGAAAGGCAACTATAGAAATTTGCACAGCAAAGAAGTATCTGTGAGTAGTAGCAGCCAATGGCCTTGAGGCAGTTTGGTTCCCCATCAGAATTTCTGACTTGATATCATGCAATGCTTTTCAAGAGCAACATCTGCTGAAAAGATGCTTGAGTGACGGTCAAAAATGTGCTGGCCCAAACACTGACAGCATGCACTCAGGCGGATACTCCATCCTGAATGGCAGAGCGATCACTTCTCCAGATCTGATACGAGCGTGATACAGAATGGCATTTATGGACACTAAGGGTCACTCTCAGTTCAGGTTTCTCCACAGTATATCACCAAAGAGTAGAAGAGTGGACTCCCAGAGGGAACTGTACAATTCCTCAACTCTTCCCCTAATAACATGCAGATGGGCTGCTCTAATGCCTGTTTACATATCTGCGGCATAGTTCATGAGTAAAGTAAGCAAAGGCCTAATTATTTTACTCAGCGACGGGACCAATAAAATCAACTTCCCCTTCTCGTTATGGGTGCTTAAATACATCCTTTGATGGTGAGGTTTTGTTTATTTTTGTAAGAATTGCGTAGCTGAGAGTAAAGCAAATAGAAGTAATGACACAGAGATGCTGACAAATGAGGGCCCTGGTGATGGATTCATTTACTCAATGATGCCTGGAGGGCTGGACTGCAAAGGTGGTTCAAAATGAATGGTAATCACACAATTGCAGCATTCCCAGTTATTGGAATGTTTGAGGAGAGTATTCTCATAACCTTTGTTGTAACAGAACCTTAGATTTTAGAATTGTAATAAATTATTTTTTTGATATTACACATAATAATCTTTTGTTTCTTTTTTCAGAATGCTGTGGAGAATAACTATCCCCGTCATACTTGCTGGGTTTCTCTGCATGACCGCAGAAACCAAAAAGCCCCGTCCTCAGGGCTCCATACCCTCCCCATACAAGACAAAAGGAAACCTGTCTGTGGACCACCACCAAAGACTATTGCAGCAAAAGCCAGAGGTCCTGTCTTCCAGCCGAGAAGCCTTAGTTGTGACGGAGCGCCGTTACCTTCGCAGAGACTGGTGCAAGACCCAACCACTGCGTCAGACAATCAGCGAAGATGGGTGCCGCAGCCGCACTGTGGTCAACCGTTTTTGCTATGGCCAATGCAACTCCTTCTATATCCCGCGCCACATGGGTCCCAGCTCAGGCCACGGACAGAATCGAGGTCAGGCTTCAGGCACTGGAAGAAAAAGCCACAACAAAGTCCAGGAGCCCTTTCAGTCCTGCTCTTTCTGCAGGCCGCACCGCATCACCCAGCTCACGGTGCAATTAGACTGCCCAGACCTGCAGCCCCCCTTCAGATACCGCAAGGTGCAAAGGGTCAAACAGTGCCGCTGTATGTCTGTAGATGTAAGTGGTCTTGGGAAGCTGTGAAGGAGGGCATTAAGGTCTTGAGCTCTTCCAGGGGACTTGCAAAAGCAAGGAATGAATTCAAGCAGAACTATTCAGTACACTCTTGGGCAGCTGTGGCTGAGTGGTTAGAACAGTCGTCCTTCAATGGGAGAGTTGGGAGTTTGATTCTACCAGCAGTCACATGTTGAAGTGTCCCTGGGCAAGACACAGAACCTCTCATTGCCTCCGATGTGTGTCCCATCGGTGTATGAATGTGATAAAACACCGATTAGTCTTCGTAAAGGCGCAAGTGCTGTATGAATGGGTAAATGAGGGCACAGATTGTAGTGTAAAGCGCTTTGAGTATCTTGATAAGATAGAAAGGTGCTATATACAGTCCATTTACCATTTACTCTTGTACAAATGTTTTGTCCTACATTACAAAAATAAATAAACCGTGTAATACAAAGGATTACCACTATCTTAATTAGAAACATGAAGCCGAGCCGTCATGTCTGTGCAGCTAAAAAGAAGTGATGCCAATAAATCGGTCTTTGGGCTTAATGAGCAACTTCACTCTGCCTGATATTTCACATCTACACAAAGGGATTAAAACACAGCCTGGCCACAGGCTACAAAACAGGAACACTGAACATGACTGCTGTCAAGTGTTTAAAAACATTTATGAACAATGCAACCACTATGAAAATGTTAATGTGCTTTATTCTTTTTAACACAGATGTTTGAGAATGACAAAACTTGCCCAGTTGTTTGTACCATATTTTACAAGTATTGTATCCATTAACTTCAATGGTTTTGATTAGGATGAGAGTTCATGAAGCTACACTGCAAAGACCATTGGTATCCACTTGGCTTTAAGTCAACCATTTGCCATTTATTAGCTAGATTAAAAAAAAAAAACATACTGCAGCATTTATAATAGTGGTGCAAAGCTATATATATATATACAAGTTTTATTTTATGCTTGTGTGTAATTATGTTTAAATATATTAAATTTATTTCATATAAAGTGTTTAAAGTGCATGTATCACAAGCAGACAAGACAATCAGCAATGACAGTTTTGTTGTTTTAGTTAAATAACTTTATTCAATAAATAGTTCTCTGTGGACATGGGTATTTATTCAAAACACTTATTGCACATGAATAAAATCTATTGCTTCTTTATAAGATAGAAATTCAAAGTAATGCAGCAGGAAAGGTTTTTTGTTTTTTTTTGTTTCGTTTTTTTTGCCTGTAGAAAAAGATTTAACTCACAATAAAATATCAAAAATACTGCCAAGTACAACAGAAGGAAGTTATCAGTTCACACCATGTAAATACACATTTTTGGGGTGGAAAAAGGCTATAAAAAGGTGCAAAACATTTGAATTATCACCAAGTTTAAAACACAGTGAAACTTTTAAAAGTAAACCCAACCAACTTTTGTATGAAACTTTTGTCTTTTTAACGTGCATCATTTCATTACAATTGCAGTGGTGTCATAATAAGCCCTGTTCTACAGCATTTCCATGAAATTGTTCTGTAAGGCACCATACCTGCTCTAGAAAAGTGTTAAATGTTGTGCTTCTTACACTTAAAGATCATGTAAATAAGATGTGTTCTCATTGTCTGGAAAAAAAAAAGTGTGTGTGTGGGGGTGGGGGTGGGGACTGCATTAAAATAAAATACACAGCTTATAAAACTGATGCTGATAAAGTTTTGATTAAAAAAAGTAAATGTTCTGTGAACATCTGAATAAAATCTCTTCTGAAAATGTATTTGTTTGGTTGCAGAGTTTCATTTAAAGGTGTGTGACTGAGAACAAAAGAGCTCAGCTCATTAATCATTTTCAATATATGTATAAAAAGCAAACAACAGTGAAGACAAAATAACCTTTAAATTTACTGGTGAGCCATGTTAGATTGTGCTTGTGCAACAGGCTTGGCCATGATTTTCTGCTTCACATCTTCTTACCCAGCTTTGCTTTCTGTGGAATTAAACAAAACCAGTTAGTTTAGAACCAGTATTCATCTTAAACATGCAGACGGGCATTACACAGAGTTGGTCAAGAGAGATTTTGCACCAGAACAATTCAAAAAGGTGCCAATAACAAATTAAATAGAAGAGAGGAAAAAAAGCATACATACAATTCCTGTGGCATTTTTGGTCGTCACGTTGTAAGTACCCTTCTGTCTGGCTTGCTTGAAGCACTCTTCAGCCATTTTTACCCTAAAAAGACCAGCAGTGATCACCATTATTCTATAGAAACCTTATGAGCAGATAATTGGGACACACTGATATTTTACAGTTCAACCTGTGCTCAAGGAACATTTTATTACTATGAGTTCGCCAAAGTTCATTCCAGCTACAAAATGTTTCGCTCAGTTTGTTGCTGCATGGAGTAGAAAAGTGATATTTGCACTTTAAAAGGGACAAATTATCAACAAGAAGGAATTAAAAGCCTACAAATTTTCCCCTACACATCCTTTATACAAATTCAATTTCAATTTCAAATATACTTTATTAATCCCAAAGGGAAATTAATTGTTGTTGTAGCTCAGCTTGGTTTCATTAGAGTTGTTCTAGATGCTGATGGTTTTGGGCAGGAAGGATCTCTTGTAGCAGTCCGTCCCACAGCAGATCCGAAGAAACTGGCTGCAGATGCCGATCCGGCCACCCAGACCCAGCAGTCCTCTTGTCCTCTTGGGCAGCAGGACTGCCTGAATGCCAGACAGAACTCCTCCCCGAGCGATGGCCATTTCTCCCAGCAGCCAGCCGAGCCCCTCATCACCGCGGGCTGGGGGATGTCATGGGCCGAGTTTCCTGCTACCTCCAAAATTTTGTCAGTCAAGCACTCGGAGCAACACCTTCATGTAGACAGTAATGCATCCACGACACCTCCTTTTCAACTCGTTTGGGATTTGGAGCTGTAGTTGAGGTCTTATCTGAGCTTTTGAGATGTTAATCAGCAATGACAAGTTGTAGGAAACCACTTTATTGTTATGGTTACACATCATAACAAATGTCCAAAAGTAAAAAAGGTTTCAGTAAAAATCCTTCCCGCGGCACAGCATGATACCAGAGGAAGCAGTCATCCGAAAAAAGTGATCCACCAGTGATCTACCAGGGCTATTCAACTAAATTGCTCGGGTGGGGGGCGGGGGGGGGGGGGGGTCACGATTACTGAAAGTCAAGAGCTCAGACGCCGAACATCCAGTGGTTAGTCATTAAGTAAGTTTTCTTGTGGTTTAAAATCTAGTTTTATTTAAAAATGAACCCATAGGTGGGCCGAACTGAGCTCACCTGTGGGCCTGATTTAGCCCACGGACCGTCAGTTGAATAGTCCTGCTTTATATCTTGTTTCTGGTTTTTACTGTATGTCTGTGATGTGCATGCACATTTAGAGATCCTCTGGAATTTAAAAGGAAAACTAGAGTGAGGACTGGGATGCTTGCCTGTGGCAAAGAGGCAAAAAGTTGATGTTTTCGATTTTGTTTTTATTCTTTCCTACTGAACAAGCAAACTGTGACATTCGACTCCTTTTGCAAACATGCTATCACAGTTCAATCTTCATTGGAGATAATAGAGCAATTTGCCATTTGTTGACATATTCACCACTATCTTTACAGTCATCAAAGCACTGGAAGGCAACTGGATGGTGGAAGTTTTGGATCATTTGCCCTTTTTTCTCCGTGAATTTGAAAGAATCCGATAGGATCTTCAGTGAACTTGAGATGCACTGCAACTTATTAGGGCCACGGAAACACAAGTTGGGGAGAATCCCAAATGTACAAACATAGTTGCATCTGTAATGACAATCTAAAACAAAAAGGAAACCATAGAGAACCCCTGAAAGGATTCTTTTATTCAACAGTTTCATGTTTTTTTAGAAAAAAAAAAAAAAAAAGAGGAATATATCAGTTAAAATGTCACATTTTTTAAAGTTTTCTCACCGTTCCTGTAACAGCAGCTTATTATGCCTCTTCCACTGTTCTTTGAAATCCGTAGAAAACTCGTGCCAAACGGAGAAGAATGTGTTGGGAGAGACTTCTTTCTCCCCTGCCTTGGGTTTGACCGAGAAGGACACACTCAACTCCAAAAAGCTGATGGCAAAACAAAAGCATTCATATTTCAAGGCCAAACTATTACAACACCAGGTTGCAGAATCTTGCACCGGCTCTTATGAAATCTAGCAGGACTATGCAAAATGTGCAAAATATCAAAGTTAATCTCCGAGAACAATGATTTTACAGATATTTGATAGAACAATAAAAGCCGAAACAAACAAAGTCATTGGATATTACAGAATAAACACAAATGGCAGGACATTCAGAACTTGAATAGCTTCATTTACTAAAATAAAACCTATCCAGCTCATACAACGGTTGCTTCATCGATGCTCTGCCTTGTGTACTGACACGCTCATACCATGACTATAACAGTGATGAAAGAATGGAAAAAAGGCACGGAAAGAAGACAGTTATCTTTAAAAAGAAAGACGTGGATGACATGTTAAAGTGTTAAATGTGGCAGTCATTTGCAGTGGATCAATATAACGGACAGGTTGGTCTGTCTTTGTTTGGAGTGTGCTATAGGAACACATTCCTAGCCGGCAGAAACAGAAGCCTGGAGCCATGGCTGTCTACTCTTGCTGCACTTAGATAAACAACGTAGACACAGCGTAGGGGCCTCAAGTCTGCTGCAGGCCTGGCACGACGGTCTGCACCTTTTATGTAACTAAAGGAACCAAGAGGCATAAATATTGACAAAACCTCAAGATTATATTTCTTTGTGGCCATGAGAATAGATCACTTCGAACTGTATTTGATTGAATTGCCCTTTGGTTTCAAATTCGCAACTAAGATCAATGTATTGTCGCCTAAGAAAAGAGCAAATGTAAATGAAAATTACATTAAAAAGTAGCATTGTTTAATAAAACTGATGCAAAAGTGAAAAGCTCTTACATTTGCTGTGTGTCCGTCAGCTGCTTCTCCTGCTTCTCAAGCTCAGATTTTGCTGTTGAAAGGAGTAAAGCACAAGTTTAATGGTTCAATTTTAGCATTTCCTGAAGAAACAAATCGTTCGCGTATTACGCAACGTGGACATGCAATACAACAGGATTCAAGATGTCACAGAACTTGAACTCAAACCCATCACTTTCAGGGTCAACACCGAGCCAGCCGGATTTTAAAGTGCTGGATTGTCTCCTGCAGCACGACTGACAAATGAGGGCCAAGAATCTTAAAACAAGCGCTCCTTTGTGTGGCATCACTTCAAATGATGACAGACAACTGTGTGCATGTCTGTAGATGTTGTAAATGATAAAACAGCTTCAGTGAAGAGTGACAGTCTTGTGAAGCCTGGTGAGTGCTCAAACAGCACATCAATTAGTTGCTTTTTCAGTTCGTGTAAAATTATAGTTTAGCGATGGAACAATCCAGTGTTTATTTTTTCCTTTCCCTTGGCAGAGTGGGGGTATTGAACATGTATTCTGGCTGCTGTTATGGCACAAAGTCCTTATTCAGAAAACTAGACCAACGTCACATCTGGGAACCTTAAACTTTCAAAAGATCAAACGCTTTCGAATGGCTTTTCATATCATAGAATATGTAACAATCTTTCCAAGTAGCAAATCCCCTTTTTGTGAATGGTCACAATTTTAAAAGGTGAAAAGATTTAAGTGACTCAATATTTTTGTTTTCCCTCCATCTAGAATCGCCCAAATCAAATTATCTGTGAGCAAGTTGCAAAACTAAGTGCTGTTCAACAATCCTCAAGGTGACTGCTGGCTTCCCCCTGGAGACAGACTTCAGTAAACTGCTTGTCGACCAACATTTGGTCTGACCGGGCACAGCCTCAGTGGACGACATTAGAACACGTGGTTGCCATAAATGTCTGGACTGGCTTACTCCTGGCTCAATGCGCTTTCCATACAAGTTGTGGAACACAATCAAATGGATACTGGTGGGTATAAAGGAGTTAACTCAGTCTGTTTTTGCACGTTTTACAAGCTTGAAAAGGGTTACCTAGTGAGATCTATTGTGGGAGTTGGTGTGCTTCAGAAGTATTGGGTCCTCTACAGAAGTATCAGTAAAAGTAGAGACAGTGCTTGGTTTGCTTTGTTCTAATCCAGATGTTTTGGACTCCATTAGAGTTGCTAATTGTTGCCGATTCGGTTTAATAAATTTGTGGACAGGATTTTTGAGCAAAGCCAAAAGTGTGAAAAATTTAAAGTTCGATTGGTTTTGGACTGCATATTTGCCGTTTTGCAGTTCATGTGTTATTGGCTTCAAACCCCTGGATCAATTTGAAGCTAAATGTGAAGAAGGGCAGCATGGTGGCGCAAGTGCTCTCAGCGAGCAGGTTACCCTGGTTCAAATCACGGTCCGAGGGCCTTTCTGGGTGGAGTTTGCATATTGTTTCCGTGCATGCGTGGGTTTTCTCCGGGTACTCCGGTTTCCTTCCTCAGACAAAAAACATGCATGTTAGGCTGATTGAGAATTCTAAATTGTCCCTAGGTGTGAGTGAGAGAGTGAATGGTTGTTTGTCTCGTTTGTCTCTATGTATCCCTGTGATGGACTTGAGACCTTAAAGGGTGTCCCCCGCTCCTCGCACAGTAATGGCTGGACATGGGCACCGGCGACCCTTGTGACCCAAAATGGAAGAAGCAGGTAAAGATAATGGATGGATGGATAGATGTGAAGAACTTCTGCTGGGAAATAAATTTAAAATCTCATTCAAATGAAAGGAAACACAAAAAAAACAAACATCTCAGGCTTTTATTTTGAATGGTAGTAGAAGATTGTGAAGAGTGACATATATATTTTTTAATGATCTCTTATGGTGTCATGAGAAAAACCAAAACAAGAAGCTGTAAAATTAACAAGTAATACACTTATCCTTACCAGTAGTCATAAGCTATAGATGATACAAATGATTCAAACTATTTTTTATTTTTTTTCAAAAAGCAACTTGGATGCTGGAGCTCAGGAATCCTGCTCCTCTGCATAAAGACAAAACGATTGAGGTGGTTTGGACAGTGGGTGCGACATGTCTCATAAAAGCCAGCAGGCTGGTCCAGGACTCCGCTAGATAAATTACACAACTGACTAGAAAAAGGGACAAGGGAGAGGAAGGTTTGTAAACTTCTGCCAAGATTGTTGCTCCTGCAACCTCAAGAAGCAGCAGCACTCTGTAAAAACACATTCATGCCATGAACTTAAAGTAAAGCCATTTAATATTTTATTAATTTCATTTATTCATTCATTTAAAAGAGACAAAATAAACAAAACAATCAAAAAAAAAAATGAATGAAGAGTGCAGAAAGAAGAAAAAAAAAATCTTATATCTCCCCCTTATTTAAATAAAATAAAATAACTTTAATCACTGAAATTATTCACTTTTATATCCACTTTAAAGCTAGGAATAAAAAAAGTAACACGTTTTGTGTTAGCAGAATTTAATTCTAACTTTGAAACTTATCCAACATTAATAAAACTTACCTCTAATTTTCTTTTTGGACATGCATGAATATTTTTGTACAAATTATACTTGAGAGGAGATTATGACAGCCTTATATAAAATCAATAACGATGATGATATCAGAATGGGATCGGTATATATCCAGAATTAGGTATCGGGAGTAAAAAAAATGTGGATCGGCGCATCCCTAATAAATTATATATATAATATATATATATAATATATATATATAGATGGATAGATGGATAATATAAATTATTTAAATACTTATTTTGTTTCATTTGTTAATTAAACCAAATGAAATAATGTTTTCTCTAAATATATTGCGTTCCAATTAGTTTAACATAGCAATCCCCTTCTCTAATAATACAAAGTACAATTATGTTAAGGTAATGTAGTATATGAGCAGGGCAATAAACTTCATGCTCATTCAAATGAAAATGAAAATAGTCAATATTCTTAAATCTATTTTTGACTCTGATGTTGGATTATTTAAATTTGGCAAATCGGTGTGTATTTAACCAAATTAGCTGGAGTTGCTGATAGATGAGTCACAGCAAGAGCTAAATGCCAGTCTTGCTATTCATCTTTCTATCCATCAGAAACAGATTATCGTACGGCCAGCGCTCTCCTGCAGGTCATATTGATTCCATCAAAAGACCAGCATGCATGAGAATTTGTGAAGCGAGCGGAGAAAATCGAGCTAGACCAAACAGCCAAGCTCCAACAAGTCCGCGCCCACTGTTATTCTGTGGTTAGTTTCATGGTCAGAAAATAAACAAAAGCGGTTTAAACCATGGAGCCAGAAACAGTTTAACCTCAGGCTCTTTAGAAATTACAGAAATAACAAAAATAAGACTTTTGGTTGATGCTTTTGTTTTCCCACTCGCCGCAATAGGGGAACCCAAAGAATCCCGTCTGGAGCCCTCTGAAACGCAAATCCATGCTACAGTGCTTACATTCTGCTCTCCGGGGGAAACCTAATCATTTGCATCAAAGAGAGAGCTCCCATATTTCTCCTAAACACACAAAAGAGGAGGAAAAGCGAGGGGTGCTTTCATTTGTTGACTTCCTTGAAAATGGACAGTGAATATTACAGCTGAATCCCATATGCTGTGTATTATTCTCTCATCTGAATACAAAAAGAACTAAGACTTGTGAGTTGGGTTCTGCAGGCAGATCAGTCACAGTAAACAGAATGTATGCAGGGTCAGAGTCAGTGCCACGTGAAAAATGTCAATTGGCTTGTTATGTTAAACCAAGCATAAAATGTTAAGTCATACATTTGATGAGAATCACAATACCCCAATTTTATTATACATGTCCGATTTAAGATTAAAGACTTGACTGCAAGACATCTGGCAGACATGACATGTAAACACAATCATGGTCTCTTTGGATGTTTGCATGGTATTTAGACAAATGTATTAGTATAGATCAAACAGTCTCGACACATTCTTTTAAAATTTAGTACGCGAGATTGAATATAACCGTCGTGATATGCTTATTTTTACTTCTAATTCTACAAAAAAAGCTAAAGTTGTGTTGTTTTGCCTGTGAAATATAACATCTGTTTGATGAATTGGCAGAAAAGTTTATTTCCTTTTGGATTAAAATGTCTGAAAATCTATTCAGTGGAGCACTATGAAATATGCTGCAGACATTTGTATTTGCACCATGACTGAATCCAGTGATTGATGGTTTATGTGGCATTATCCACTCAAATTTCCACCGTTGATAATTTTTCTTAACACAAGTTCTTTTCACAATAAACATCAATTTAACAAAAGCAGGCCTCAGATGTGCAGTGCACCGTTCAGTGCCAATACTTTAAACGCCAACATTTGTAATTTATTTTTTTTATTTTCATTTTTTTTTACAACAGCAGATTATTTGGTTCTGTGCTCCCGAGTTTTCTTCAAAGACATGGAGAGGTTTTAAAAACGAACTTTGCACAAGACATGTGTAAAACTGTATAGTGAAATGACCAAACAGTGGGCGTACAATCAGTCAGACTAAAGATAGATAGATCAAAACACTAAGCCATTAAGTGTGTGTATCAAGGAAAAATAAAGTAAAAGATTTTTGCCAGCAGATTATTGTATTTTTTGCCCTATAAGTCACAGTTTTTGCATAATTTGCATACCCTGTAACTTTAACTGTAATTTTTGGCTGAGATATGACCATTTTCATTCATTCTGATTGAAAATATTGAACACTACCATTTTCAATTGTTAGATGGCAGTTGAGCAATTTGGCATGCCGTTGTATCATGTAGTAGGTAAAAGTGGCTATTAATGACACAGTCGGCTTGCCTTAGACTGCCACCATCGTCTGCCTGGACAAACTTCAAATCAGCTTTGAAGAAATGGACAGCGAGTCGCTCTCTGAGCGTTCATGTTTCTGCAAAGTGGCTTTTGAAAATGCAGCTGATTTGGCCGTCAAAGTGCATTTATTAAGGAAAAATTAGACTAAGACACACCTTTGCTATAATTTCCAGCAAATAAATAATTGTTTTTAAGTGCTATTCTTGTTAAATCCTCCCGTGCACGCTCTTGTGGCTGCCATTTGGCAGCAAATCGATTTTTGACACAACACCTGCCCACATTTCCAGGTTCAGCCAACATTTCTGGGTTGTCAGCCATGACACGTAACAAACACGACGCATCAGCGGTGACGCATAATAGATGTGACGTATACGGCAAAGTGACGTATTTCTAGATTTTTCCACTTTATTAGACATATTTGGACTGATGCGACAGGTACGGCGGAAAATACGGTAGTTGCTGAATGCAGCCTAAAACAAACAGTAATCCATCCGGAGAGAAAAAAATGAACCTTGAGAACAAAAGCTACTTTAAACAGAATTTAAATTGTTATGTAGCCTTACTTTTTTTGACTTCTTCCGAATGGGGAAAACAAAGTGTACAATTTTGCCTCAGCCTTTCTGATTGGACACCTTTTCTTGATAAAACAAATGTCTTTCCTCCACATTCTTAGAAAATTTTCTGATGATAAATTGTTAGAAGGATATTAGAGAATATTTTTTTCTGTCAAAAATTCCACTTCTGCGATTGAAATGTTTTGTGCTTTGGCTTCATGGAACAGATTACAGCTTGAAGGTTTAGTATAATCAGAGAAAGTTCATCTGCAGCCCTTCTTGGCGTTTTCTTTGCAAACTTCTATACATTTATAACAATTGTCCTTATATTTCTTTGTTTTGACAACTAAATGTCATATTGCTGCCACCAAGCCATTCCATTTTGTCCCTTCTAGCCATAAATTGTTGGCTATAAACCTTGATCTGTCGAGGCAAGCTTTCGTTGGTTAGGGTTTTGTCTTTCCTTTTAAAGAAGTCCTGGAAAATGAATTGATGCAAAGTCTGATTTAGAGTTTATCTCAAGATCTCTGTCCCAAAAGTTTGCTTATTAATAAGAAAGGCCTTAATGGAGACACTTGTAAATGGAAATATTAAGTACAAAATTGCAAAAACAGTTCAACTCAGGCAGCACAATGAGAAGACAAAACGGTTCAAGAAATGGTTTAAAAACCAGAAACACTGCAACACCCCAACCATTGTCGAGACCTAAACCTATAGCAAATATTTAAATAGGATCTAAAAACTAGAGTAAAACCAAAAGTGTTTTATCTTCAAATATCTGGCGACAGACCTTTGCACCAACATGGTAAATTTTGGCAAATTAACAAAAAAAAAAAAAAAAACAGAGCTACAGTTGTGATTATTAAGCTGCACATTTGTTGAGTATTACTGCAGTATAATAGAGTAGGCAACATGAAACACTGGTGCTTCTGTCCAATATCATGGTGGTTTTGTTTACTGGCTTAATGGTCTGGATCTGGGTCTGGCTTTGGCCTGATCTGGGAAGCTCAGTCCTCACCTCCTTCTACAGGTGTGCAGTGGAGAGCATCCTGTGCTCCAGCATCAACGTGTGGCATGGAGGCTGCACAGCTGCAGAAAGAAAAGCCTTGCAGAGAGTTGTGAAGGCTGCACAGAAGTCTGTTGAAGTCAGCCTTCCCACCATCACAGACATCTATACCTCCAGATGCAAGAAGAGAGCCACCTGCATCATGAAGGACCCCACTCACCCAGCACACACATTTTTTGCATTGCTCCTCTCAGGCAGGAGGTTGAGGAGCATTAAGTGTAGAACCACTAGACTGAGGAACAGCTTCTACCCTGAATCTGTTAGTCTCATGAATCTCTAACCAGGATAATCACTGTACTGATGCCACTTGATTGTTAACACATGCTGCTGATCTCATGCTGCTGTGTTCATTCGTACTCATCTGCCCACACAGACTCATGTTCGTGCTGCTGTTGTTCAACGTATTGTTTCTGTACTATTCGTGTTTAATGTATTCTTAACGGCATATTTCTTAGTTCATATCTTAGCTCTTATTACCGTTTTTCTTTACAATTTATACTTTTGTTGGATGTAACTGGGACCCTGTGTACACAGTTTTGTTCCACCACATGTACCACATATGATGTGAATGACAAAGAAATATTGACTTTAACATTCAGTTATGTTCTAAAGAAGTTCAAATAGGTTATGGTTGATGTTTTTTTTTACTGATGATGATTATATATATATTTTTTCTAACCTTAATTTTACCTGGTGATTCCCATTGAGATTATAGGTATTGTTGACAAGAAAGAACAGGACACTAACACACGATATAAATGAATATGAAATAATGTCAAATATACTTACCTTGATCTAGAAATGTAGTCATTTTATCTTTGAAGGGTTGCAGGTTTTCTTCAGAGGACAACTTGTACACTTTTTCTGTTTCAGCTAAGCACGCTAAAACAACAAAAACATAACTTCCGTAAATAATTACTCCAGAAACTACCATTTTTGTGTTAATATTGTAGAAAATTATTTTTTGTTGAATTTAAATCCCTCTAAGAGTATTAGTATTTTTGCACAAAATTTTTGCTGAATAAGTGTCTGGAAAGACAAAGACCCAGTTTGGTACCTTTTGGAATTAGGTAGCTAAGAGGAACTTATTGGCATGCTCTGTCTGAAGACAACAGATATACAAACACAGCTCAACGTCTGAGAGGTGTAGCAGGGTGCTTATGGGAACAGGGGGATTGGGACCAACATGAAGGTAATTCATAAACCATATGGTTCCTCAGCTAAACAGAAACTATGAATGTGTTCCTTGCTGATGTCCCTATAGGTCCTTCCCCAAAAGTTTCTACACCATCTACCAATTAGACCCCCCCATGGGAACTGTCAAAGCCCATGTCTGGTAAAGTGTTCAGCTGAATCCGCTTGGTGATGAAGAGGTCTGCAGGTACGACATGTGATGATATATTTATATACGACTAACCTGTGCCACAGCAACTAGGGTTCAAAGCTAATCTCCCCCCTGTGAGCAACTGCATTTTAATGAATTTCTAAAGAGTCATTAAGGCAGAGGCAAAGCAATATTTTGTCACAGCTCGTGCCACTGATTGGTTTAGCAGCAAAGACGCATAAAAGAATGATGGGGAACAGACTAGGTTTAGGGAATTGTTGATCAAGTCGATGGCGCGCACGAACACACAGAAACATAAAATAAATCGCACACAAAGATAAATCACACACAAACTCATCCACAGACAGTGGATTTTAAAACCTACATGAAGCGACCTCAGAAACGATTGCACATACAGAAGTCCCTCGCTACTTCGTTGTTCGACTTTTGGGGACTCGCTCTTTCGTGGTTTTTCAAGGTAAGATTGAAAACGAGAAAAGAAAATACATTGTACAGGACATGATTGTTAACTTTAATATTACTTACGTGATTAGGACATGTACGGGATACTGTACAGTAAAAAGTTAACGAAAAAATAGAATACTTTGGGCAGGCGCCACCATTTTGTAGTTTTCTTTCAATAAGCCTACACTGCTCATAACCAGTGGTGGGATGTAACAAAGTACAAGTACTTCGTTACTGTAATTAAGTACACTTTTCATGTAACTGTACTTTACTTAAGTAGAGTTAAACATGAGTACTTTTTTACTTTTACTCCACTACATTTCACATTAAGTATCTGTACTTTCTACTACACTACATTTCTATAATGCGTTGTGTTACAAGTTACATTCACGTTGCAACTTTTTTATTTGTTTGTTAGTTTGAAAGTAACCAATGGCGAGAGGGGAGTTGAATCACTGCAACATGGGCAGGTAACGTTAGACCCACGTCACTGAGCAGGGTGCACCCACAGCACTGCTAACACACCCAAAATGGATTCCACCGAGGAAAGTCAGCCAGAAGATACGTGCCACCCATGGCCTTATTGAAAGTCTATTGAAAGACTATTGAAAGATTATTCAGTACAACAGGACAGATTCTCTCTCCCAAAAGAGCCAGACTGGATTAAAAAAAACTTTGAAAACCAACTTCTTCTGAACTTTAAGAAGAAATTCTTGCTGCGATATTAAAATGTGTCAGTTCATGGGATGTTAGGAGACAAGAGATGTCTCCAAATGACTCGACACTCGGGTCCAAGTTTTGAAAATGGTGTCAGGAAGTTAAAATATTGTTCACTATTGACTCATTACAAGGTTGAATAGACAGTATTTTAACTAGAGTTGATGACAAACTGGAGTTGAAATGATCAGAGCCTGTTCCTTTGTTAGGTCTAATGCTTCTTTTTTTCAGACAGACAACTTTTACTTAAATGTGTTTACTGCAGTTAAAATTACACATTGGTTTTGATTTGTGCTAAATAAAAACGTTCAAAAGGTATAATCATTCCTCTTTCTTATTTTGCTTAATAACATTTAACTCTGCATGTCATCCCTGAAATTCTGACGCACAGAATCACAAGTCCAAGTGTGAACTGTGTCACACAATAAAAACATGCATTCTCTGCAACATTGTTCATTAAAATGGATCAACAATATTAATGTATTACAGAAAATACTTTGTATACATAAGGTAGGCACACTTAAGAATATTGTAGACCATTGCATTAGGTAATACATTCAGCAAGTACTTTTACTTTTAAAACTTTAATTATTTTTAAAAGCAAGTACTTATTTACTTTTACTTAAGTAAAAACATTACTGTGACTTCTACTTTTACTAGAGTACATTTTTGTCTGTTTATTTGCACTTTTACTTAAGTACAGTGTTTGAGTACTTTCTCCACCACTGCTCATTTTGTTTTGGAACGTTTTGATCTGATCTGAAAAGTTTGGCCCTTATTCATTCAGTGACTTTGGCACCCAGCAGATGCGCCGCACAGAACCCATCGGGAACCAGACCATCAGAGCAGAACGGGACCTCGAGACTCATCGGTCAATCTGAGAGCTGCTTGCCAGACCACAAGGACTTCAGAGCGGAGACACCGCCTGTAGGTCCAGAGTTCTACCCAGAGCCAACTAACTACCCTGAGCCACAGAGCCGACCAGAACCAGTAGGGTACGTCTGCCGAAATGGAACCACGTTGGAGCGGAAGCGAGCTGCTGATGCTCTGCAGAGCTGGTGTGTAAAATTTAGTAGCTACATATACGCATGTTGTTAAAATTATGTAGGTTTAAGAGTTTAGAACATTGTGGGCTTCATTGTTGCTGGGTAGGTCTGAAGAAATGGAACAGAGTTGGACTGGAACCGCTCAGAACAGAGCTGCTGCTGTTCTGCAGAACTGGTGCGTAAAATTTAGTAGCTACATATAAGTATGTTGTTAAAGGTTTGAGAGTTTAGAACGTTGTAAGAGTGTGGGAAGGGTTTCTAAAACAGGGCTATTCAATGGAGGCCCGAGGGCCAAATCAGGCCCACTCGTGAGCTCAGTTGGGCCCACCAGTGGGTTCATTTTCTAATAAAACTAGATTTTAAACCATAAAACAAACTTGCTTAATGACAATAACTGCTGGATGTCCGGCCCCTGAGCTCTTGGCTTTCAGTAACTGTGGCCCCCTGAGCAATTTTGTTGAATACCCCTGTTCTTAAGCTTTACAATATATATATATATATAAATACTAAAATAAATATAATGTCCCTACTTGGCGGATTTTCACTTATTATAAGGAGGGGGGGGGGGGGGGGGGGACGTAACCCCACAATAAAAGAGGGACTACTGCTTCCAGGAACTTCAGAATGTTGAAAGAAGCTTCAGTACTACACAGCAGTATTAGACTGATTAGACACAAACCAGCTTCTACTTTTCTTTTGTTTTGGGTTCTTCTGGACACTAAGTCTTGGGAACTGTTTGTGTGAATTTGAAAAAGTAACGGTACATTTTTCTGGGTACAAATATATAAATATTTTTTTAACACATGGGTTACTTGAAAGAGCTGACTGGATTTAAAAAAGTCAAAATAGTTTTGGGCAATAGACAAAACGTTAAAATTGTGGTTATAATGAAAGCTGAAACATATTTCAACTAACTTGTTATTGTCATTAAATATTTGCAGTGAATTCAAGTGTCCGATTGACATTAATGCGTTCATCTGAGTTTATCAAATTTAACAGTATATCAACAAATGCACAAACTTCAAATTTCTTACAAAGACTTTTGAAATGATGTATTTTGTTGTCTGAGTGTCTAAAATAGAATAAATCAACATCAATTTTCCTGTTGACATCATGGGAGCCGCGAAGAATGGATGGACCTCATTTAGAAACCATTTTGATTTACGTTTCTTCCGTTATGACTCACGAGGATAACAGAGCAAACATTACAAGACTTCAAACTACAGCAACATCCTAAAAATATGGGCCTTTTGTACAAACCGGGAACATCCATAAAAGTTTAGTACTTTTATTGGTTTGTTTTCACTAATTTAAAATATGATCTTTCTAGTTTGATGGGCTCGAAGTAAAAGAAAACAATTTTTATATGGTCTTCAAGCAGAGGCGTTTGTCACAACTGGAAGTCACGTGATGTTGAGCGTCTTGCTCAAAGGCACAGCTTGTTGACCAAGTGAAGCAAAGATGGAAACGCTGCTCGACAATCGGTCTCCTGAGCTACAGCCGACTCCTTGAGGTCAGGTGATGAAATCGTGCGCAAAGGTAGTGAAAGCTCCCTGACCATGACCCGCATTTATTTTGATCTCCGCTTCATGAGGACAGTAAAGGCATGCCAGGTCCAACAGGAGTCTATATCTGACAAGCCACATCTGCTTCCAGTTAACTCGTCTGTACGACAAACAGATGTTATCTCTCTGTTGATCCGTCTCTGCAGTCTGCACGACCAAAGCTACAGTTACATTTGGAAATTAATTACATGTCACACAACATATTTAAAAGATATGCATCCCAGATGATAAACAAATTTTTGGGGAGGGAAATGAATCATAAGATTATGCAATCACATTTCAAGTTCTCTACTAAATATGTAGCAAAGTGACTCATTTAACAGCTAAGCGTGCAATCTGATAAACTTTCAGTAAATTTACAATCCAAGAGTGTTTGATGGTTTTAAAACCGAGTCAAAGCGGAATGTTTAGGATGACGACCGTACCATTTAGATCCTTTCTCAACTTGCGCAGATCTCTTTGAAAGTCCTCAAACTTCATTTGGGAAGCTTGAAAAAGGTCCTGGGGCTCAGGCAGAGGGTAGACACACGTCTCTCTGCCAGCATCCTGATAAATGACAACACACAGGATGATGCAAAACACACACCACAATGTCAAAGTCAATCCTCCTCAAAAAGGAGAGGGCCTCTTTGTGTTGAACACACAAGACAAGATTTAAATAAAATACCTTCAGAGACCTATATGGACTTATCAGCGGTTCAGATTTTTCAAGCGGAAAAAAATATATGGCTGAAACTACAACAAAAGTGACCTTTGTGCTCCGTCCAGAAACTGTTTTTTCTCTCCATCAGAGTTACTACAAGGCCATTATGAGAGCTCCAGCCTTGTCATGCAGGTTGTTTTTGGCAAGCGGCATAACTGAGTTCATCTCATCTGGAGAACCTAATTATTTACACAAACACTCCTTTGGATGCTGTGCCAGTGAACCGGCTGCAGGTCTGAATGGAGCCAGACCAAAGCGGACCGTGAGCACAACACGGAGAGCGAAAGCCAAAAAAACAAAGTTGTAAGACAAAAGAGAGAGATTTGTCTGTGTTGTAAATGAGAAAATTGAAAACAAACAATTTGATAAAGGATAAGTCATGGTATCCTCTGGCAAGAGGGGAAATGAAGAGAGAGAGTTCTGGAAGGATTTCTAAGCAAATCAGTCTAAAACAGAGAAGTGATTCAAATAAACAGGAACCAAAACGTACCTCATCAAAGTGCCTTAAATAGTAAGCAACAATGTAGGACAAGAGACTCGTGGAGCTATCCTGGAAAAAAGAAAAATCAAATAAACCACAATCCCTTAATTATTGATTCATTTTGTGGCAAGACATTTTAATTTTTAAAAGCAAAAAGATGAGTGGAAAAAGTCGTTTTAGGAATAAATCAGGACAGTAGGATAGCAACACAAGAAAACAACTGTTCTGAACAAAGTCATCATAACTCAGACTCAGTGGAAAGTTTAATGCTCTTTTGGATAACTCGGTGCTATCACCAAAACAAGAACACACACCACACGCTTTCCCTTATAAGGTATTTTCAAGGGCACACGAGGCCTGTTGTGATAAAAAATTGTAAACAGAGCGGCTTCACCTCTAAATCTCCACAGCTATGCTTCACATGTTTGGCACCAGCAAAGTTCCCTTTTAAATTCTTAACTCCCGGTCCTAAACTTGACAATAAATAGAGCGATTTTAAGATTGCAGATAAACACGTAAACATGTCTCACTTGTTTAACACACGTTTACAGAGCGCCAGTCCTTCCAGTTCGCCTGTGAATACCACATCTGCTCTTGTAACGCGAGTGATGTTTGCTCCTGTAGCATATACTCACGCTGCTTTTAACATCCTTTAGTTTTGGCAGAATGTCCAAGGTGAAGCCATCAGCCTGCCCTCGAGACCGATTACCTCCGTTCATGAAGTTGCCAAAAGCCAGCACGAGGCCGAGCACCTGCAATACGCTCTCACTACTTTGGAGAGTCTGCAGAAGCCACATGTAAGATGAAGTTAAGACAGATTGAGTGACAGGAGGAGAGAATGCACTGTAAACGCCAGCAGTTCACCTTGTACACTCTCTGTAGGATTTCCATTTTGCGCACGATTAAGGTGATGCACTCGTAGAAGGTTGATTGAAACAGGATGCAAAACACCCGCTCCGAGAAATTGGAGATTTGCGACAACTGGTACAGGAACCTGGTGAGAGCAGTTAAAGGACAATTTATTTAAGGGAAATTCATTTACTCAGTGATTCATGAGGGACTGACTCTTACTGTTCTGGCTTGTCAAGGGGTTTGGCATCATCCTTGTCTTGGGCCGATTGAATGTGCTTCTTAATGCTTCCTATCTCATCATCTTGGGCTCTCTGTCAAGTAAAAATGCAAGTTATTTTAAAATGAAAACATGTGGGATACAAATATTTAAAATAAGTTGTTAGTCATAAATTTAACCTGAATATATTAACAGTAACTAAAGAAGGAAAGTGAAAAGTCCACATAAAAAAAAAAAAGCACTTAACTACTTTTATCACTTGCTGCCTTAAAAGGGGATGATCTCTAAATACCTGCGTGTGTTAATTTAGCTGTTAACACATAAATCTTATGAATCGGTGGATGCATTTTAAAGAATTTCTCAGAAAGTAATCGTTGAACATCCTTGACGGATTAACTTTTGGAGATAACTCAAGATGGCCACCTCAGGTAAACAGCCTTAGGAAACACAAACCTGTCTATCACTCAAACTGCAACATTGTTCTTAAATGAAACTTGCTTTCACACCTATATTTTAATTTAGAAATGCAATTAAAAACAAAGGTTTGTTTTGTTCTAATACAAGTACTTTTTTTTTAATCTAATACAAATAGTGGGTACAGCAACAGTAGGAATGTGATGTTTGAATTTTTTTTAGACCTTTTTTCAGGTTTTTGACATTTTTAATGATAAAAGTGGATTTATTTTTCTTTCCTCAATCTGCACACAATATACCACATTTATGAAAATCCGAAAACAAAGATTTAGGAAGATTGTCAGTTAAAAAAAAAAAAAAAAGGGTAGAAATGTCCTACTTACAGACATTATTCAAACTATTATAATACAGATGAGCTCTAGTTCATCCTGACCTTCAATGTGCTCACACAATTTATACCGTCTACAAACTGATCATAAAACAACTTGCTACTGTAACGTTTCACAATTTATAGTGAGCTTCTTAACAACCAGAGCCATGATGCTAAGAATTGTGATCTTAAGAAAAATACTGAATTATTTGCTCACAATTTTGATTGGCATATAGACAAAATTAGCCAAGTTTGCTATAACAGTGGAGGTAAGAGGAGTCAGCACAGAGGAAAATAATGGACTGTTAAAAGTTTTTCCTGGTGAAAAGTTCAGTCTGGCATGAAATATACATCACCTGAAAAAGATTACCCAAAACCAAAAGAACCTAGGAATATTTTCAACAGAACCCGACTAATCCATAATTGAAGACTCTGTAGAGCTTTAACTTGGATGCTAAAATGGCTTGCATCATTTCTTTTCATCTACAAAGTAGCATTGCTGAAACTAAATGTTTTCAACAAGAGGAATAAAAGGTCAAAAAAGTAAATAGGTCAAAAAATGTACTGGTATGTTAGATTTATGGGATCTTTTAGGGGGGGGGGGGGGGGGGGGCTTGTTTCAATTCCTGATTAAAAAATATTTTTCATTTGAGGGGTTGAATAGGCAGCTGTGATTTTTTTTTTTTAAACACTAAATTTCATGAACCTGTTTTTGTATTTCAAATAAAGGGTGCTAATTACCTGCCTGGAAATGTAAAATTAGAATTAAACATGTCAACAAAGTGCGAAGGGGGATGGGGTGTACATCCTCCCCTGGACAGTGGGCACCAGCGACCCCTGCAACCTGGTGTAACAGACCATAATCTAGCCCCAGTCTGGATTATACCTGGGGTTAAAGGGGCCAACAGATTACACCCCAGGTATACTATGGCCTTGGCCAATTTATACTCCAATTTATATTCTATGATGTCAGTAGAGCTGAGACATCTACACAAGAATTACTACTTTTTTTTGTAACATTTTATTGGGGGTTAAGCTTTGTCAGATAAGTTAAGTGAAAAAAGTTAACTGAATTAATCTTAAAATTCTAAACATTTGGCTTGAGGCGTACAAATTAGCCTAGGTATGAGAGGTTGACCAGATTATGGATATGTAGATGGGTATATTCTGGTCTGGAAGGGTCTTGCCTAGACTATTTTACACCCCCTGGGTACAGTTTGGCCAAGGACAGGTTATCCCCCAGGGTAGACTCTTACCTGGGCCAAACCATACCTGGATTTAGCCTGGGCAGGGATTAGATTTTTTTTTATTTTTTATTATTATTAGTTTATTTGACAGAGACAATGCGCACAAACATAGAACAGAACAAGTCTGTGACTGCTTCGTTGCACAAAGAATATATAGCTATAGCTAATTTGCAGCTCCAGTCCCTGCTGGGGCATTTATACACATTAAAATACATACAATTTATCAGTTAAATTACAGGAAGAATACCTACATATTCATGTAATCACTTTAAAACTTCCAAATTCAAATAATAAAAACTATTCATTAAAATACGAACAACTTAATATTCTAGGAACAAGAAAAATACAAAACATTTTCCTCTCTGCAAGTTCCAAATTAACCTTTCAACCTCCTAATTTATATTAATATTTTTGCACGTCCTCAATACCTCCCCGTCCTCACACATTCAGCTAACGTACTAAAAACTGACCTTGGCCTATTGCATCGTAAATGAAGAACTGGGTAAAATATAATGGATGGATCGCAACAAAGTCAACAAGCCCTTTTTTTTTTTTTTTTTATTAATTCCAAAGTACTGAAACTTTTCAAGCATCATCTTCAACTCATTCTATCAATCATTTAACCTTCACTTCTTAATTTTGATGTTGCCAAGCTGTCTCAAACATGGAAGAACCCTCACTTTTTTGAGAACTCATCAATATGCAAACAAATACAATATAAATATTTTCAATGCTAAAAGTAGACTTTTAGCTAAACTACATTCCTGACCATTATCCTGCTGCCAGGCGCTGAACCACAGTTTTACACAAGGTGGTTTTTAAAAAAGACAGTCAAAAATAATCCTTCTTTTCACAAAAGGCAACGACAATAGATGTTAGAGTTTCAAATGCAGATGGGCAAAACAATCAAACCATCCCCAGGAAGATAATGTAAACTTTTAGTCTCCCAAAGCCCATCGACCCCTAAAGTCTGAGTTTCAGCATTCTGGTTTCGCCCCCCTTCATTTTTTCCATCTTTCTCTCTGGAGTTCGGCCCCGGCATGGATCCTTGAAAAACATCAAACAGCAGCATCAAACGCACTGAAAGCCCGATTAGTATTCTACACACCGCTGCCTTGTGTCGGCGAGGGCAAGCTTTCCTTTGCCTTCTCTTGAGATGTTTTCAAGTGTAAATATATTTAACACAAAGCAGATCCTTTTCAAAGGGCAGCAGTGAAGCCCAGCAGTGTTTGGTGTAATTGAGGACAAGTAGGCATTAGCGTGTGATCTTAGAATTGCTAGGGCATGTTTCAGCGGTTGTTAGCATGAGAAATACAGTCCCATGTGGAATATTGAATGCAAAGGAGAGTTGGATGATATTTATGATGCCAGAATCCAAGCAGTAGCCAAGTGGTATTCATTAGCTAGGTTTCTAGCGCTGGGCTAAGCAGAGCCAGACAGAGCTTAATCACTATTTATGTCACTCAGTTTTCAAGATTGAGATTCATACAATTTATTGTATAGCAAGTTGCCAATGAGAAATCCTTCTAAATGACAAATGCTATCATGTAATAAAGACTAAAGTTTGAGAGGCTCCAGCTGACACCAGGGACATTTAGCCACTGCAAGCTGAAAATGGATTCTGAACTTCACACCAGTTTGGGCCCAGACCATGGCTTGATATTAGGCTATTAGTGACAGCAGTGTCCCACTATCCCGCTGACCCCTTTTAATGGCGGTGGCTTTGTTCAAAGGAGAGAAGTGGCTTTAATCCATAGTTCACAGACCGAGCGACTCTGCTGCGCCTCTATGTGCATGCAGTACGGTATGTGCACGTTTGTGTGGTTCAACATGTTTGTGAGCATGTTTGTGTGAGAGTGTGAGTAAAAAAAAAAAAAGAGTGAGGGAGAGTAGTTTGTGATCTAGATCCTAACAGCAAGTGAGGGTGTAACCATTAGGAGCCCCTCACATTCCTCAAGACAGGCTGACTGTACTGCCAACTGTGGTTTAGGGGGCTGGAGACCCACAGACAGGATGGAGTCTCGCAATACAAAAGAGAAACAATTTGGCTCCTTGACTCAATAACACAGCCTCAGGCCATACAAGAGAGAAAGGAGAGAGTGGCGGTGGTGGGGTGGGGCCGAAATCTCTGGTTGAGTAGAGGTTAGAAGACTTTTGATCCTAAGTTATGACACACTGGTTCATAACTGCAGCTCGTCTCAGACCACGCTCTCATTCCCGTGATCAACATTATTAATATGCCTCTGGCAGCCAAAGGGCCAGGCCTCTTCTGTGTTGTGGAGCCAAGAAGCCATTCACAGGAATTTCACAGCATCTTAAAAATGCATCACAGTTGAAATGTGGAAAACGTGCTCATTTTCATGTTCCAGAATTTACTGCCCCGACTTGAAAAGGGTCTTGAAACCGTTCATCTGGGCATGGAAGATTGATGAATATGTATTCACTGCATATATCTGACTTATCTGTGCTGCTGATTATCTCATGCTCATTCATTCATACCCATCTGCTCACCACAGACTCATGTTCGGGCTGCTGTTGTTATGTCGTATTGTTTTACATTATTAGTGTTTAGCGTATATCTTAGATATTTTAGTGTACTGTTTGCAGTTCGTTTAGCATATATCTTAAATCCTTATACACCTTTTCATTACACATTATATTTTGCTATTGTTGGGTGTAACTGGGACCCTGAGTCCATAATTTCATCCCACCCCATGTACCACATGTGATGTGAATGACAATAAAATTGACTTGAACTTCATATAGGAAGCCTCACAGTCAAAATTGACACATTTTGAAAAAAGCTGATGACAGCACCACAATTAATTCCATATATGTATTACACAATGCATTATGATCAACCTGCAGGGCAAAGCTCAGAATGTTCTCCTCAAAAGGGGGAGAAAAAAAACAACTTTATTATCACTTAAGAAAAGTTTTGTTGTGCAAGCACTGGAGCCTCATCTATTATTTCCCTTTTATTGAAGCATTAAAAAAAGCAGAGCCAATTTAATTTAGGACACACACACAAAAAAAAAATGAAGGGAACCAGAACTTTTACTATGTAAAAGTTTTGGTTCCCTTCCAGAACAGACCTACACATGACTGACAGTGTAGCCAAACGGCTCACATACCAGTTTGGTTTGTGGCTCGACTTTGTTTTGGCATCTAATAATACGCACTTCCTTTGTTCGTCCATTTCAAATGGATCTTGGAGTAAGGACTCCTTCAAACGAAGTATATTCACAATAATGTGGCCTTTTATGACAAAGAGCAAATGTTGCTTTATGTCATTGTCACAACGTGCAAATTGCTTTTTTATTCCTCATCTACAAATAAAAATGTGTGCATCAGTAGTTTCAAAATTTATCAGCTTATACTGTATGTTTGCTATATTAATATTACAACTTTTTATCTTCATGGGTTTTAGTTTACAGTAAAATATGTTATTCATCACTTCCAATTAAAATAAATAAATCACCATTTATCGTAAACAAATTGCTCCAAAATAACGCGTTTATTGCATGAAAACAGTTTACAGCTTACCAGCACAAATATTGCAGTCAAAAATAAGCCTCAGCTGTCAGTGGAGTTATTTGCATAATTACACTTGTTTTGTTGCACAACATTGTGCAGTCATGTGATCATTCATTGGCAGGAAAATGATGAAATGTATTCAGTTTGTGGTATCATTTTCCCCTCGTTTTTCTATTGAACCCATTGACCTTGATCATATGGAATTTAAAATGTTTTTAAATTAACGCCGTTAGTCATAATAAAATTGAACTGTTTAACATTCAACCATAAATTGCTTAATAAATACTCACATTTTCATAAAGGGCATGCAGAGTCTCCAGATCGACAACAGTGTTGTCCATATTTAGGACAGCTGTGAGCAGAAGACGAGTAACATGGTTAATGTTAATACTAACACCGGGACTTGTCTTGACATTTCTTTACCTTGAACTAACACCATTAACAAGCAAGAAATCAAACCAGTACAAACAGACCACCTCTGTCACAAGCAGTAGATTACAACAGTTCTTTGGCTGACACACAGACCACAGAAAGATGGAGTACTAGCTCAAATCTGGCGTTTCCTGTTTTTGGAGCTAAATGTGGCACAAAACAAGGTCAAAGCTCTGATGCATTCTCTGCAGTGAGTTACTTTAATTATCTGTTCTCATAAGGGTAGCATGCAAGGTGTCACTTGTGAAAACATAAATATGAAGGACTTAGAAATTTGTCAAAAGGTGCAATGATGCGTGTTTGAACTTCTGTGTTTGAATTCCTCGTGTCGCCTTTTTGTCTCGGAGCGAGGACCTGGCGCCCACGAGCATTAATCCTTTGAAAGTAAATGTTTAAAGACAAACAGAGCCCAGGGGTCTGCGGTGTTGGGGCTGAGGTGTTGCTGCACACACAATCACCAAGTGAAGCAGTCAACACCTTTATGTGCATTTCATCATGCTGTAGGTGCTGAAGTTATTCACACTGATTTGACCCGATGGTTTGCGTTTGAGGAGCGGGAGGGGGATTTAATGTCAGGGAGGCTTGGAGTTCAAGGCTGAGCTTCAGTTTAGAGTTATGAGTGAACTTTTAAGCTTTTTCTGCTGGATAATTTTAAAACAAATGATCAAAAGTATGGAACGCCAAAATGCTCAAAATTAATTAAATAAATAAAGCATTATGAAATAAGTATCCAAGCTCACTATTATGACAATTTAAATTTTTTATTCTTTTATTCATAATTGTGTTTTATATGATGGCTTATTCATTTCATAACTTTGTTTTTCATGGCTTATTTATTTCATAATTTTGTTTTTCATGATATGCTGATGAAGATTCTCAGTCATCCAGGAATCCAGGAATGAATTCAAAAAGCGTTCAGTACAAAAACAACTGGACTTCATTTGTAACAGAAGACGTTTGGCTCCTCATCCGAGGAGCTTTTTCAATTCAATGAGCAGTGAGTGAGAGATTCTGGTTATAAGGCTGAGTGAGATAAGACACGCACACATATGTAGATTTGACAAGTCACACCTCAAGTAGGGATGCACCGATCCACTTTTTAAAATTCCGATCCGATCCCGATACCCAGAACTGAGTATCGGACGATACTGATCCAGTTCCGATATCATGATCATCATTGATTTTATATGAGGCTGTAATAATCTCCTCTCAAGCACAATTTGTACAAATATATGCATGCATGTCCAAAAAGGCAACTTGAGGCAAGTTGTATTAATGTTGGATAAGTTTTAAAGTTAGAATTAAATCCTGCTAACACAAAACACGTTTATTTTTATTCCTAGCTTTAAAGTGGATATCAAAGTGATTAATTTAAGTGATTGTTTAAAGTTGTTTTATATTTTATAAGGGGCAGATATAGTTTTTTTTCTTCTTTCTGCACTCTTTTCATTCAATGTTTTCTTTTGAGGATTTTTTTTTAAATTTTGTTTCATTTAAATGGATGAATAAATGAATTAAATTAAATTAAATGTTAAATGGCTTCAAACATCTGCTAAGTTCATGGCATAAACCAACAGACATGTTCCTGTTTTTAATATTTTACATCACTTTATAATGTAGCTGTTTATGTTTTTAATATATATAATTTTCAAATCATGTTTTTTTTTTTGATTGTCTACTGTTGTACTGATAAATATCTCCTGGAAGGTAAACTATATCTTGACTGCAAGTATCAAGCTGCAAAATCCTTCCTTTTCTACAACTGATAGTAGTTGGTCATTAATTATGAAGAAGTTTAACAACTTCTCTGTAAACATTTGAGCTCCGTGGTTTCAGCGACGTCTACTTCTTGTTCAATCCGAAGCAGGCAGCCTGATTTGGGGCAGCTGCGCTCAGTCTGTCCCTCCTCAGAGACGGACAGATTGAGCGGGGCGGATTGGACGCGGCTGGCCGGTGTCGAGTCGCCTCTTTTGGTTTGACCAAAGAGCAGCACCCCGCTGAAGCCACGGAGCTCGTATGTCCATCGTAAAACTAACTTTAACGTGGTTTAATGTGGCGCTATGGCTCTGCAGACATTGCACGTTGCTGTCTTGTTTTGTGGTGTTTAGTGTAAAATACTTCCACACAATGGACATGTTTACATGAAAAGTTTGTTAGCTGTTAGCCACAGTGCTGCTAACTCAGTTCTCACGTTGTAGCTGGCTGCAAACTATGAACTGGATTTCCTAAATGTCAGAGTCAGAGTCAGAGTCAGAGTTTCTTTATTGTCATTCGCACCTCATGTGGTACATGTGGTGGAGCGAAATTATGTACACAGGGTCCCAGTTACATCCAACAATAAAATGTATAAGAAAAACAGTAATAACATCTAAGATATGAACTAAGAAAAACATCAACTAAATATACACTAAGCACTCATAACATAAAACATTGAACATCAGCACAAACATGAACATGAGTCTGTGAGCAGATGTGCACGCATGAACACATCAACATTGAAACAGATCAGCAGCAACATGAAACAGATCAGCAGCAACATGATATGGTTTTTCACAGTGATTATTCTAGTTAGAGATTCATGAGTCTAACAGCCTCAGGGTAGAAGCTGTTCCTCAGTCTAGTGGTTCTACACTTAATGCTCCTTAACCTCCTTCCTGAGGGGAGTGGGGCAAAAAGTGTGTGTGCTGGGTGGGTGGGGTCCTTCATGATGCAGGTAGCCCTCTTCCTGCATCTGGAGGTGTAGATGTCTGTGATGGTGGGGAGACTGACTCCAACAGATTTCTGTGCAGCCTTCACCACTCTCTGCAAAGCTTTTCTTTCTGCAGCTGTGCAGCCTCCATGCCACACATTGATGCTCGAGCACAGGATGCTCTCCACTGCACACCTGTAGAAGGAGGTGAGGACTGAGCTTCCCAGACCAGCTCGCCTCAGCCGTCTGAGGAAGTAGTCTCTGATGAGCTTTCTTGATCAGGCTGGTGGTGTTGTTGCTCCAGCTGAGGTTGTCATTCATGTGTACACCCAAGTACTTGTAGCTGGAGACCACTTCCACCGCAGATCCTCTTATGTTCAGGGGGGTGTAGGTGTTTTTGTTCCTTCTGAAGTCCACAATCATCTCCTTTGTCTTCTTCACATTGATGTGAAGGTTATTCTCTTTGCACCAGCTCTCCAGGTGTTCCACCTCTTGCCTGTAGCTGGACTCATCATTGTTTGTGATGCATCCCACCACCGCTGTATCATCTGCAAACTTTACAATGTGACAGCCTGGATGGGTAGCTGCACAATCATATGTGAGCAGAGTAAACAGAAGGGGGCTCAACACACATCCCTGAGGAGAGCCAGTGCTGAGGGTTATGGTGGAGGAGGAGAGGTTGTGGATCCTCACTAACTGTGGTCTGTTTGTTAAAAAGTCTAGTACCCAGTTGCAGATGGAGGGGCTTAGTCCTAGTGTGGATAGTTTGTCCATCAGGGTTTGGGGGATCATGGTGTTGAAGGCGGATGTGAAGTCCACAAAGAGCATACGGACGTAAGAGTTTTTCTGCTCCAGGTGGTTGAGTGCAGTGTGGACCACAGAGGAGATTGCATCCTCTGTTGATCGGTTCTCACGGTATGCGTACTGATGAGGGTCCTCGTTGATGTTGATGGTTGTTTTGATGTGAGTCATGACCAGTTTTTCGAAGCATTTAGCGACTATCGGGGTGAGGGCCACTGGCCGATAGTCATTCAGACCAGTCACTGTAGAGCTTTTTGGGACTGGGATGATGGTGGTAGTCTTCAGGCAGGTGGGAACTGTCTCCAGGGTAAGTGAGGTGTTAAAGATGTCTGCCAGCACCTCACAGAGCTGATCAGCACATTCCTTCAACACTTTTCCGGGGATGTTGTCTGGGCCAGTTGCTTTGTGCGGATTAATCCTCCTGAAGGTACTCCTTACTTCTGCTGAGGTCACGCTGAGATGCTCTTCATCCGGTGGTGAGGTGAGTCTGGTGCTGGGTGGTCTGTTCGGGTCTTCAAAGCGTGCATAGAACTTGTTGAGGGCATCAGGCAGAGATGGGTCTTTGGGACATTGTTCACTCCTTCCTTTATAATCTGTTATGCACTTAATGCCCCTCCACATGCTCCGAGGGTCTTGTGAGATGAATTGACCCTCGATCCTCTTTGCATATGTGGCCTTGGCCCTCTTAATACCAGCAACCAGCTCTTTTCTTGTCCTACTCAGCTCCTCTGAGTTTCCAGACCTGAAGGCAGTGTTCCTGGCTTCCAGCAGGGTACGCACCTCTGCATTCAGCCAAGGTTTTCTGTTTGGGTAGCTTTTAACATTTCTGATAGTGGAGACTGTGTCAGTACATGTACTAATGTAACCCAGTACTGAGGATGTGTATTGGTCAAGATCAAGCGAACCTCCATTTTCAGCAGCTTCTCTGAAAACCTGCCAGTCTGTTCGATCAAAACAATCTCTCAGTATGGGGCCACTGTCCTGGCTCCAACATTTAACTTTCTTTTGTACCGGTCTGGAGCGTCTCAGCGGGGGCATGTAAGCAGGAGCCAGGAAGATTGAGATGTGGTCTGACAGTCCTAAGTGGGGGCGGGGTTCGGCTTTGTATGCATCTTTTACGTTCGTGTAAACACGGTCCAGCGTGCGGTCTCCACGTGTCGGAATCGTCACATGCTGATTAAAGCTTGGGAGACAGTCCTTTAGATTCACGTGGTTAAAGTCTCCGGCTACAACGTAAAGAGCCTCGGGGTGTTTGTTCTGCAGCGAGCTGATGATATCATGAAGCTCCTGCAGTGATTCATTAGCATTAGCGTCCGGAGGAATGTAAACAACTGTGATAAAAGTCACTGTGAACTCTCGGGGGTAGATAATGTGGCCGACATTTCACTGTTATTTGCTCCAAAGCCTTCGAGCATGAGCTATTTACAACAGTACAGTTCGTGGACCAACTTTTACTCACGTAAATGCACACTCCGCCCCCCCGTGATTTCCCCGTTAGCTCGCTGCAGCGGTCCGCTCGAAAAAAAAGTCTGTCATCCAGCTGGAAGACTGGATTACTCTGGGTTCATGAGACACGCCGCCGTTCGGGAAATCCATTCCATAGTTTGAAGCCAACTTGCATCATGGATCGAAAATATCGGCAGGAGGATCGGAAAATCCGATACGCAAGTTATGCTGGTATCGGAGGCCGATACCGATACTGGATCGGATCTGCCCCATCCCTAACCTCAACACCTTAACAGTAGGGGGTTTCTTAAGGTCTTTGTTACTCTAATTCACAGATGAGACCCCTCTGTTCCCATCAAGTGTGAAAACCGGCTGGGAATCTGTCTTAAAGTTGCATCAAAAACCTATAATGCAACTTTCTGTCTTAAAGTTGTAAATAAAAACAACCTACAAAGCCTCGAGTTCAAAGAAATATTCACAGAAGCCTCTCTGTGGGCCTTGCCTGCCTTTGCAAAGTTTCCTGCTCTGTGACAGGAGCGGCACTTACACAGACGGTCAGCTCCATCCTTGATGAAAGCGCAGCAGTGCATACAGGAGAGAAACTGAAGCTAAAGTATCCATCTCATTACACTGGTATTGACCAATATCAATACCCATGTCGTATCGATATAAACATTTGGATCGATCCGCCCACCACTACTTACTGCTACAGCTAGCCTAGCAGCTAGCAGTGACTTGCTAGGTCAGCAGTCATGAAGGATGGTAGAGTTGCATGAACTTCCTTCAGCTCAGGTAACTTTAGCAGATCAAACTGAGGATTACGTTCTTAGAAGATACATGTGTCTTGACAAAAAGTGATGGGACTGCCAAGAAGCGATTGGTGCCTCAGGAGTGCGCACAGGAGCACGCACGGGAGGACATACTGTTTTAGTTCTTTGAACTTAACAAGATTAATACCAGTGAGCAGGAAAACTAATGGATGTGAAGGATCAGCCAGTGGGCGTGCCGGTCGAACCCACTGACGTTGATTGACAGCTGAAGTAATTCTGCTGAAAAGTGGCATTATGAAATAAGCCATTATGAAATAAATAAGCTATCATGAAAAACAGAATTATGAAATAAATAAGGCATCATGAAAAACAGAATTATGAAATAAAATAATAAAAATAAAAAATAATCTTATTTCATAAGGTTTTATTTATTTATTTAATTTTGAGCATTTTGGTGTTCAATACAAAAAGGGCAAAGATTTTGCAAAATGTGAAAAAAGCTGCATTTCCGAGTGTTTTTCGCCCCATTGTGTAATGAGTTAGCTTTTTTTTTTTTTAACTTCACTTCTGAGCCACATCAGCAAGTCCTTTTCCTGATTTGTCTATGTCAATTTGACTTTACATTTGTTTTAAAAGCCACTACAGAAATAAATAACATCCTTCTTTTCCCTGACTCTCCCTTTTCACAATATTTCCTCCTATTCCTTTCGTTTCCACCATTTGGATTTCATTACCTTCGGCATCAGAATCTGTCCGAGCAGTTTGATTTGTGGAAAAAAAAAAGTCGTATCGTCACTGTGACGCGGACTTCTAAAGACCAAAAACCAGACCCATCCGCCCACGTCCATCCCACCACATTCAACCCGAGCGTGGCGCCGGCAGCCACCGTCTGAATCTGTGACTGGCGCTCCAAAGCCTCGCAGGAAGCAGACGCTGCACGGAAGCGTCCTATAAAACATATAGCGTGTTGGCCAAGAATGAGAACAAACAACAGCTGCGAGGAAAGTACAGGAAAAATGAGTTGCCTTCCCACTTGCTGGCTGAGTTGGTATAAACACAACAAAAATCAATGATTCATAAAGTTGTTGTTCTTCAATCTGTACTTTCCAAAATGACAAGGTTTGCCAGCGCATGAGCTCATGAAATCAAAAGGGAACTAAATTGATTCACGTCAAATTGAGATGATCACAAAGCTTTCATGAATGAATCTTGAGTTTTAGTAAACAAATTGCTCTTTGACTCCTAAATCATTTCAAACCTCATACGACACAAAACGGCATAATTATATCTTGGGGAGACAATAGCATCTCTAATATGCTGTCCTTTGGGTTTCATGCTTTTCATTAAGTCACAAACCATCCCATTTGCTTTGTTTGTGGCAGACTTCACACTGTTTTAGAAGGTAAACATTATGTTTTTCACCAAGACGTCCTCCTTCCCTCCCTGATCTCATTCTTTGAGTTAAACTTAGGTTTCAATTAGAGCTAATTGTACATCATTCCAAAACTGTCCTAACAGAGGAGATGGATGACGGTACTGATGAGAGTGGCCCTCGCTTGCCCTCCCATTCAGACCTGTGATATATGCGTCAAACACGCTAAAAGCTGAAGACTCAACATTAAGTCCTGAAAACATCACAGCTTTAAAGATGTAATAAATGCTTCACTGTTGGAGGATGGATAAGAAGGGAAACGGGGGGAAAGTGTTTGGACACACGGATGAGCGAAGACTGGGGCGCAATCAGAGTTTAACTAAAACAGGAAGACGGTCTGCTCCCATCAACATCTCTGCAATGACTTCACCTTAAAGCCGCCCAGACAAGATGGTGACAACTCAGCGAGAGATGGAGAGCTGCAGAAAAACATGCGGTGGGTGTTAAATGGGGAGAGATTACGATAAATGTGAGCAAAGAAAACCAAAGGGGAGAAGAATACCGAAAGGATTAACAGCTCATGCTTTTGAACAGCATGTCTTGTGATTAAGCAATGATAAGTGGTTTTGGTGATGCAAAATCTCGTACGCAATTCGTATGACTAAAATAGGAATTGGTTCATGAACAAACTAGGATATTATTGCTCCCAAACCAAAAGCACTTTCATGCATTTATGTGCACTAGTGTAGAATTGTCCTATTATTCGTATGAAAACTGATTATTTATTACAGGTACCTCTTTCACCTTGGCTGAGTGTGTTTTTTTCCCCATACAAAAGCAAAAAGTATAGTTTAATCAAAATTGCCTGAATAGCTGACTTCAACTTAAAAAACAAGCTGCATAATAAGAGACTGCAGATACAAATTAGCTTTTGCTATAATCTGGTACAGCGCATCAAATGGTGACATTTATGTTTCAATTGTACATTGTCTCTTTTTAAATAAAGTTCATTCATTCATTTTATTTAACAGCAGTGTCCAAAGTTAAAGTCAAAACTTCCATTTTGGTTGGGAAGCATTAAGTGGGAGATCTGGAGATTAACTCAAGATCTCAAATTAAACAATTCAAAAATGAACAACAGTTTTTATAAAAGAGAAAAAAGTGTCAATGAATGGATGAAAGCAGGAAGTTGGTTATTAAGGCTGCTCTCTCTCTCTCACTCTCTCACTCACTCTCTCAATGAACTTTAGTTCAACATTAAATCTCTGATGAAGCGGATTCTACAAAAACATCTAGATTTAAAATTTTATGTTTTCTTCATCATTTGATGTATTTGCACTCGGTGTCTACTTTTACTATTCAGTTTAGATGAGTGATTTTGTTTCTTGTTCAGATATTTTTTTTTTTATTATTATTTTTAGCTTTGCTTTAAAGTTTAATTCTTGCTTTGTGATTTGTACATCTGCGGTTTAGAATAAAGTTGAACTAAAAGCTGTAGCTCTTCTTTAAACATGTCCGAGGGAAATATTCCTGAGATCCAATAATTTTGTTGTTTTTTTTTTTTTTATGATTTTTCAGCCGAGTTAACTTTAACAGATTGTTTAATAGTCATTAAAGTGAAAACAGGATTTCATGATAACGCCGGCACCGCTAATTTATTTTTAATTTTCACTGATTAAAAAAATAAAATAAATTTATACCTGTACAGAAAATGTTTTAAAAAATCATTTCCACCCTCTGTCCCAGACCCGTCCCAGTTCACCTCTGTCTGCCAGGGCTCGGGGTCTGGCCTTGCGCGCTTCTGTGGGTCGACAGCTCGTATGATCCACAGCTGTGACCAGCAGAGCTCAGAGCCGGGGAGATGACGCCCTGCCTGGCCTGAGGGGGCTCCGAGGCTTTGGTGGAGAGGCCCGGGTGGACTGGCGGAGCTCCATCTATCTCGCTCTGAATTTTGTCGTCAGCCACCAAGCACAAAAAAAAAAACCCGCCTGCACTTCAGCATTAGACCACAGTGTTGTCATTGTTTTTAAAATCTTAAACATAGATCCAGCTGCTGCTCAGAGTTCGAGTTATTGCAAATGGTGGATCGAGTTGTTTGGAAAGTTTCTCAAACAACCAGTGACTCCACCCCCTGACCAATCAGTAACCGACAGAGTTCTGACGTCATGTTTTGGTGCCGTTCGGCCCGCTTGGAACCCCAGAGAAAAAGGGACTGAAAAAGGGACCAGTTCCACAAACCGTTACTAGTGGAAAAGCCTTGGAACCGTGCTGTCGAGTCGAACCGTGCTGTACTGTCACTAATGGAAAAGAGCAATAGGTCATAGTTATAACCACATGATGATGCTTACCGTTCTGGATATCCTTCATGTCGAGATGAATGCTGGACATCAGGATACCAACAGCCTGTGAACGCTTGTTGCTCAGCAGTTTCACCACCTAAAGGGATGATGCAAAGAGACAGTAGCAGGAAGTTTCACAGCTGGTGGGAATAAAGAAAGACACTTTAAACCCTGTTCAGAACGCTCAACGTACACACAAGCTAATAAAAACATTTATGACTGAAAATTAAAGTTAGTACGTTAGGTTTCTTTCCACAACGAACATTAAAAAAAATTACGCTGACTGCTGTGATTTTCATTTACAATTATCTAACTCTTTACAACAATTAAACAGTTCAGGCATTTTCTTCCTCAAAAGAAAACGGGTTTCTTTGGCTCAGTATGGTCAAAACAACCAAGCCAAATTAAAACACCTAAAACAGTTCCAGTGTCGAGATGTGTCATTATCTCCATCCCAGTAAGATATGCTGAATTGAAGCTTGTCTGAGTAAGCAAAAGTGTGCGCTGGGTTGCAAAGTGGTGAATGGACAGCACAGGAAACCCAAAGCCTGCTGAGATCCAGACAGAACGCTTCCATTGAAACCAGATCAGACAGACCACAGACCTCTTAAACATACAGGAAGTTCTATCACCAGGCCCCAAATGTCTGTTTTCCTGGACCCAACCACATTTTCAACGAGCAGGCTGACTGAGACATGATGCGGACTGCTGAGCCTGTGATAACCAAAGGGGAGGGTGACTGATAAAAGTGCAGCAACAAAAAAAGTTAGTGTTCTCAGCTGATTTAAGTGTAAAAATAGATGGAAAGCATATTAAAGAGTTCACCTCTACATCATTCTGAAATCAGAATTCCCTAGAAATCTTTCCTACTAATGAAACAGCCGAATATGTGATCTAAAATATTTTTGTGGCAAACCATTTTATTAAAACAACCCTAAAAGATTGATCTAATAAGTGTCTCATGGGAGCCATGTGGGTTTGAGCTTTTGGCTTAAAAGAAATTAAAAGAAAATTTAAAGAAATCCTTTAAGTCATTATAATTATTTGTTGATCCTTTGATCGATTATCATTTCAGGGTTGGTCAAAATCAGTCCCATATAACTCTGAATCACAAGTAATACACTTTCTTGTCCAACATTATCTCCCAAAATCAGATGAAAGCTGAAAATATTCCAATTTAGAAGTTTGCAAAAAATAATCACATGGCTGGTTTGTCGCTTAGGATCGCAGAGTTGAACTCTTCTTAATTAACACAGAGGTTGTCAAAACACAACTAACTGAAGTGTACACCCATATTTCTAAAAATGTTTTAAAGATGCCTTATGTGACAATAAAAAAAGTACTTTAAAAGTGTCAGTTTAACTGAACTTGCAGGATAATAACTCAGGTACCATGCAAAATTGATGACACCTAAGTATTGAAATTACTACTTAGGTATTTTTCAAATATAAAATGCCAAAGACTCTGGAACTATTCCCCCCCCCCCCCCCCACACACACACACACACATTTTAGAAATCAAGCAATAAATTAGACAACAGCTATAATAAAATAATGTGATATTTAAAAAGCAGGTGCAGTGAGCTATTTAAAAGCAAGCCCTAAAACCAAACCTCATTTTTTTTTTTTAGGTATGTTCTGTGCCTTGTATAGTACAATTTATCATCCAAGTCTTGACCAGAAATAGATCACATGTCCCAACACAATTACTCATTTCACCACAGTGTAGTAGTCACAGCATGAAAGCTCTCGCTCAAACCTTTATTGGAAAAGGAAACATTAACACTTTACAAGCTGCAATGATAGTAGTCCTTGACATTGATTACTTATGTCAGGACAGGCCTTTACAACAGCCAAGGAGTGACGTCAAAGGTGCTCTCTAGTGGTAGCTCTGAGCAGGACGTGTCCCTTCTCGTTACAAAAAGATGAATAAAAGATTCACAGCAAATCAGAAAGATGGGGAGAGTTGCAGACGTAGAAAACAATCATCTATGAAGGTCTGGGGTGGGTGCTAATGCGCTGGAAGTATCAAATGTTCACTTTAAACTAGGGTCAGTCAATGTCCTGTTTTTGTAATATTAAAATAATCAGTATTTTCTTGCGCATTATGTAAAACCAAAGTAATTCAACGTCAACACATATTGGCATTCACTCAGTTACAACACAATATAAGGAATTTTAGCTTCAGCTCCTTTAAGCTTTTCTCAGTTTCAGTGTTTAGTCATTTTATTGGCCAAAATATAGTTTTAATAGCTAAAAGTCAATGAAAACGTGTCTGATAACACTGTGGATTTCTTCAGCAAGTGTGTATTTATGTGAAAAGCTAATAAGCCAAGTGAGTTTCGGTACTTTGTTCTGAGTTTCAAGATGAATTTTATTTAACTTGGTTAACGGAAGGTAAACTGGTCATATATGGTACATTCAGTTTTAATGTTTTAGCAAGTTTAAACATACAATTATTTAGTAGTTTTGGGTTTTCCCGTAAAAACTTTACTTTTTTAAATCTCCACAACTTTTATCAACCACATCTTTGATGACAGCTTAATCAAAATGCAAAAGCCGGAGCAGAAATAACTTATCAACATTCTAAAATGCCCTGTGCAATGCAGCTGCACTTTGCCAAAGCCATGACGGGGCAGAGTGTAGTCTAGTGCTACTCAACCTTTCGGCCCTCGCCAGAGGAGGAGGGCGACCACAGCTAAAACAATTGAGACGGATTGAACTCCGATACAATCTTGGGCAGGAATGTTGGGTTCAGAGAGCGGACAACACTCAACCTTTTTCGTCTGAAACCAAAAGCTTTCACCTTTAACTTAGAATGTAAAATTTGCTTTATCTTATGACACATTATTCCAAACAAAACAACGTTTTAACAGAAAAAAAAAATACATTTCAAATTTTGATCTCCAAATGGCTCAAAAATGGGGAATGTCAGAGAGCCTAAAAGATAATATCTGTGGTATTAAACATGTCATTCTTTGGGCAACAATTTTCTAAACACCTGTGAAGGACTGGGCTCAACAACAAAAAGCTTTATGAACTCTAGGGGAAAAAATGGAGGAGGGGTAAAGGGGGGACTATTGGCACAAAAAGCTGCCAGTGTAATTTCTGAGCACCAGCTGCTTCTCCATGCTCAGACCACACAGTTTGTGCTTCAATCCAGGACTAGCCCAGAAACGTTGCCAACTGCAAGGTCTAAAACTTGCCTTTTTATGTTTATGTTCAGTACAAGCAGAGCCTTTAGACTAAGACTGCACTCCTGCAGAAGAATTAGATAATGTCATTACTCTTCAAAACTACACAAGCCAGCATTTGACCCAATCCTGTGGACACAAAAATTTAGCCCTTTTACAAAGTGAAGGGTTGGTGAGCAAAAGACATGTCCGAAAAACAAAATGAACTCATATTTTCCAAGACAAAGGCTCTTATCAAATCCTTTAAATCAAGATTAGTGCAAAGCGCTAGAGCACATCTGGGAACTAAAAATACCAAGTTACAACCAAACTGTGAAACTTAAAATTTCTAAATCTCTTATGTTGGATTTTAGGGAAAATGCACAGCTCTTTGTAGACTAATGGCATGTGATGGGGAGTTATGTATAAAACTGCCCAACCTCACCATCAACAATCATCGTGAAACTAGAAGTGGTGGCCAAGGGTCATGGTGAAGACAGAGCACTGCTCTACATTCAAATTATGAAACATATATTGGGCATCAGGCTTCCCTGAACTGGACTTTTCTAACCCAAGAAGCTACAAGCAAATATTACTGGACACCCAACCAGCAAGCATTGGAGATAAATGAAGTATCAAAGAGATTGCGTATTTGATTGGAGAAAGTTTCCTTACCACTGTTAGCAACAATTAAGGTCTTTAAAAAATGCATCTTCTTCATCTTCAAGTGCTTATCTGTAGTTGGTTCACAGAGGCAACAGGTCCAAGAAATAAACCCAGACATCTCTCTCCCCAACAATACTTTATAGCTCAGCTTGGGGGACCCCAAGGTATTCCCTGGCCAGAGAAGATACACAATCCCTCCGTGGATTGTGTATCTAAGGACACCTCTCTCCCTGGGCAACTCCGGAGTAGGAGAGAGCCCAGCCTCTCTCTTCATAAGTTGGATTCCAGAGCCCAAGCTGTGCGTAGAGGTGAGCCCACCTTAAGTAGTTGGTATTGCTCAACCTCACACACAAGTTCTGGCTCGCTACCCACCAGCCAGGTAACACTCAAAGTCACCAAAATCAGTTAATGCTGCCAAAAATCGACATGGCTACCCAGTTTGCTATGCATCCAACATTGATGGACCTCCGTACAGGTGGTGGGCCTGTGGCAATGGCTTCTTCTAGTTTCTTCGGGCTTGGCTCGGCCAAGCCCTAGGAACCAAGGATCGACCACAAGGAACTCGCTGGCAAGCTTCCCCGCCCCAGGCCTGGCTCCAGGGGGGTGTCCCAGTTTTCATCTTCCGGGCGAGGTATTCTTATGCCTCTGTTGTGGATCCATCAAGGTTTTAATTTTGAATCCCTCTTAGTCTGATCCCTCCCCTTAGGTCTGCTTGCCATGGGAGACCCTACCAGGGTTTAATGCCCCTGACAACATAGCCCTCATGACCACATGAATACTTGAACCCCTCCACCATGTTAAGTTAGCAATTTTGCAGAGAGGCATCACTTTTATAGAACTGGGGCAAGGGAAAAAGCATCTGGAGAAACTGACTTTTGAGGAAGGCTACAACTTACACGACTGGTAAGCAAATCACAAATGATCACAGACACACTCGTGTACATTGAATTGCAACATAGCTTCTGACATGCTCCGTCCTGATTCAGACAGAGATCAAATACTTGTTGACTGCACACCCGCAGGCGCTTCATTAACAATTGACTGTCACCTAGTAAGCTATCTCGTCTTGAAGAAATATTCTTGCACTCTGACAACCATGAGAAACATTCCTCATACTGAAAATGCAGTGAAGTGGAGCAATAGCCTCAATAGGAAAATAAAATTCAGAACAGGTACAAAAAGGACACATTTCTCTAATCAGGTACATTTGCTTTTTTATTTTAAATTTTATTTAGGAGTTAAAAATTAAACTTTATTCAACTTGACCCTTAAGCTTCATCTTAGTTTAAAAATTCAAGTTACCATTTCCTACGAACTAAAACATTTCCCAATAATGTTGGTGCCTTCGAACAACATTTTATTGCCGCAGAAACTGCAAATGATTCCCCAGAGTCTCAATTAGATGGGTAAAACACTCATCCCTTGAGTAACAATTTGCTATTTTATCATAAATTTGAAGAACAGCACATCAATTTAAAGATTATGACAAGAGCACGTTTAAACTGTAGATCAAATGTTTGACTCAGAAATTGATGACATGACAAAGTGTACGGGCGAGAGAACCAGTCGAGCTATTAAACCAAGTCATACAGAAATCACAATGGGGAGGAACCACACCATGAAATACAACTCCCAAGCCTCACTCTCCTTCACTCATTTCCCTTCCCACTCTCTCTGAGCAGTCATCATGGTCATAAGGTTTCCTCGCTGCACGCGAGTCTTTGGCTCCATGCCACAAGATGGTCACGAGGGAGTCGGTTGGGAGCCAGATCTCACACCACATAATAACTGTCTGGCTACAGCAGTTCCTCGTGTCACTCAAAGTGACTCTGGGAGTGTCAGTGAGAAATGGAAAGGAACAAGGCAAAGGAGTGAAAGTGAAGATTGGGACAGGTCCAAAGGGTGCCTGTCTGGGCATTTAAAAAAAAAAAAAAACGGACAATAAACAGAAAGAATCACATACCTGTTTGGTCTTTGACTTGCTGATCGTGTCTGAAATTGGTTTCTTCTTTTCTTTAACAGCATTTTTAGAGAACAGATCCACAAATTCTTCAAAATTAATTGTTGGTTCTTCAATTTTTTGCCACACTAGTGGTCCAGTGTTTCTAAAGGAAGAATGAAGGATAAACTATCACTAAAACAAATAGGAGATGTTTAATCTGCCATTATCTAGTTGGAAAAAAAAAACAAAAAACACTTAAACCTTTTTAGGAATACAGTGCACATTGGTTATCTTTAACAGTAAAAGTTATAAACTTGTGGCAACAAATTAAGGTTCTATGCTGGTGAAGATTCTCAGTCATCCAGGACATGATGAATTCAAAAAGCGTTCAATACAAGCCTTATAACCTGTATCTCTCACTCTCTGCTCTTTGAATTGAGAAAGCTCCTCGGATGAGGAGCGAAACGTCTTCTGTTACAAATAAAGTCCAGTTGTTTTTGTATTGAACGCTTTTTGAAATTAAGGTTCTACAAACTTTCAACAAAACAAAGGAATTTATTTTGAGACTTTCATGCAGCTACATTTTCCAAGCCCTAATAAGGACAAAAAACCTTGATCAAGTCAATTCTCTGCTGACCACAATGCCTGGACTGCATCACTTTCTTTTTCCACAAGGTTAGCATCTCCATTACCATTCACAGCATGCGGCTGATCTTTATCTTAAGTGGACAAGCTTCCTCTCAAATCTCTACTGTTAAGAAAATACTTTTGCGCAAATGACCCATATCTATCTCTACTCTTAGCGTATCCTTACTTTTTTGCGTGCAGCTGTATGCGGGTCCAGTAGAGTGGCTTCATTGGCTTGGGGGGCTCCATCACAGGTTTGGCAGGAGCAGCTTCCTGAACCACCATTGAAGAAATTGAACCTGGAGGCAAAGAGCCAAAACCTAGAGGTGGGGGTGGAGGAGGGGGGCCCATTCCTGGTGGAGGAGGTGGGGGTGGAGGTCCAACACCCAATGGGGGAGGAGGTGGAGGCCCAAAGCTTGGAGGTGGTGGAGGTGGTGGCGGACAAGGTTGTACACCAGGTAAGGGAGGAGGAGGTGGTGGTGGTGGTGGTGGTGGAGCAACACTTCCCGATGGTAAAGGAGGAAGTGAAGGCATACCCTGTAAGCTTAAAGATGGGGGAGGTGGAGGACATGGAAGGGTGCTGCCCAGCTGCTTTTGTTTGCAGGTGCATACAAAGTTCTCTGCAGATTTGGAGGTGGCAGATGAAACGATGTGGCCAGATCCTTCATTCAAATGCGTGTTAAATCTAACCCCCTCCTCTACAGGTGAAGTTTGAACGGACACCTCTTGGTGCATCTTTTCCAGTCTTTCACCCCTCATCTGGGAAGTTTTGTGAGGGGCATTGCCAAGAGCTCCCATGTTGTCCTCACTCCTCTTTGCCAAAGAATGCTGCTGGCCTTCTAACACAGCGATCTTACTCCGCAAGTCATCGACTGTCTTCTCCAGCTGAGGGATCAGACAACTTTCATCCTCTGAGGATGACTGCCCGGCCTTCAGCCAAATGGATTTTGTCTGTCAATAAAACAAAAAAAAAAAGGAAGAAGAAATAGAAACAAGCAAGAAAAATAAATAAATTCTGTGGAGTGGTATCAGTAGTATGCTATAAAATGGAAATTTGCTTATTCCATAAAATAATCTATGAGTTACTGAAGACGTTAAATTTAAAAATGATCTGGAAAACATTTTTATTTCAATAAAAACAGGAAAAACATTAACAGTAAAATGCAATAGAATGAGCTTGGCAGCCAAAGATTAGTGAAGGTAAAAAAAAGTTAGAACGTCCTTAATGTCTAGACTCAATCAGATCTCTGGCTTCTGGTTAGAGCGGGGATGAGGGGATACAAGAGATTTGACTCCAGAGACAGGGAGTCTTACCTGGGCAACCACATGGGGAGGATTTGTGATCTCGTCCATAATTTCCCATAATGGGTTGATTTGTTACATCCTGAGAATCCTCAGTTAATTTAAAAAAATGTTTGAGGAAATCCTCTTGGACAATTGTATATTTTTTTTCTTAGAATAAGTCTGACCTCTGGTGGACAAAAAACAATTTACAACTCAAAGATCAAAATGATGCATGACCCAAAAAAAAAAAAAAAAAAAAAAAAAAGTTTGTTTTTCTCAATCTTCGGCAAAAAGCAATCACAATTCATATGCTAGTTTTAAATTTAACTTTATGATACATCTTCAACATTGTTTTATGCAGTGCCTACTTTTTATTTGTATTCCTTAATTCTTGTTCCCCCTTTAAATACTGATCATTGTGCAGAGTGGAAAACTCTTGGACTGAAAACAAAATGTACACGCATTACATTACATTTGACCAACCTGAAAGTGCAGCTCGCCAGGTGGCTTTGAAGATCGATGCAGAGGTGATCTTAAACCTCTAGCTGTTGAGCGGCCCCCATAGAGTTCCCACAGGTGGGAGGATACTGGGAGGCCTACACACGCCCAGGTGTACAGCTGCTCTTCCTGCATACAATTCCAAATCCAAAAATTAGTACATTATACACACAAACTGTGTATACAAACCAACCACTAGGGAGCACAAGTTAGTCAATCAATCAATCAAACTTTATTTATAGAGCCCTTTACAGCAGCCAAAAGGTGCACAAAGTGCTGCACAGTACAGAAGTTAAAAACAAACAAGAATAAAAAAAATAAAAATAAAAAATCAGTCAGTTAAAAACAAAAACAATTACAATTAAAACATAGCAAAATTGTCAAAGACCTACCAGGTATTAAAAGCCTGCCTGAATAAAAAGGTTTTAAGATTAGATTTAAAATGCTCCATGTCAGTGATGGTGCACAAGTTAGTGTGTCTCCTGTGTCAATCCCAAGCCTGGGTGAATGGTGAGGGCTGTGTCAGGAAGGGCTTCTGATATAAAACACTTTTGCCAAAACTAATATGCAAGTTCATCTGCATCACTATATCATATCGGTCGAGGCCCGGGTTTACAACAACCATCGCTGGTGCTGTTGACAAAACAGGGTGCCGATGGAAATTGTGCTACTGTTAGTCAAAGATCACGAGGAGGGAAACGTGTCAGGAGACAGAGGGAGAAGAAGAAAGCAAGAATGTAGGACTGAGGGTTGCAACTCTAAATGTGGGGACAATGACAGGCAAAGGTAGAGAAGCTGACTCACATGATGCAGAGAAGGAAGGTAGAGGTTTTATGTGTCCAAAAGACCAAGTGGATGAGCATCAAATCTTGCAGCAATGAAGCAAGGTTTAAACCGTTTCACCACAGTATTGATAGAAAGAGAAATGAAGGGTGGTCCTGAAGGAGGAGTTAGCAGAGGAGAAAAAGAGTGTCAGGGTGATTGTATCTGAAGGTAAAAGTAGAGGGTCTGATGTTAAATGCTGTCAGTCGTTATGCTCCACAGGTTGGATGTGAGGTAGAGGAGAAAGGGACATTTTGGAAGAAGTGATAGAGAGTATTCCCAGGGAGAAGAGAGTGGTGATTGGAGCAGAGATGAATGGACATGTTAGTGAAGGAAACAGAAGGGATGAGGAAGTGTTGGGTAAGTTCTATTTCTTATAGTCTTCGCCCTCTAAGAGCTGTCGCTGGTGGGTTTATCCCATCATGCAAAGCATCACAATAGAGTCGGCAACTTTCCTTCTTCGTTCTTCTGACAGTGCCATTAGCTTGCTGAAGAAAAAATGGGAGCAGATTACCCGCTCTTAACGTAATTTATACGGACCGGGTGGGGCCCACACAACAGGTGGGTGTGGACTAAGTTTTTCAGTGCGATGCTTTGCATGATGGGATAAACCCACCAGCGACAGCTCTTAAAGGGCTACGCCTATACTCATGGAATCTGGGGTTACAGTACGTAACCAACGTTTGGTGTGAAGGAAACAAACCAGGAAGGACAGATGGTGGATTTTGCCAAGAGAATGAAAATGGCTGTAGTCAACACTTGTTTCCAAAAGCGGGAGGAACATAAAGTGACCTATAAGAGTGGAGGAAGGAGTACACAGGTCGACTACATTCTATGTAGAAGAGGAAACCTTAGGGAGATTGGAGACTGTCGGGTTGTGGCAGGGAGAGCGTGGCCAAAGAGCATCAGATGGTTGTGTGTGTAGAATGACTGTTGTTAAGAGAAAAAGAGTAAAATCAAAGAAGACTAAATGGTGGAAGCTGAGGAACAAAGAATGTGAGAAATTCAGAGCTGTTAAAGGCTCCGACTGAAAAGAAAGAGCTTCCAGATGACTGGGCTACTACAGCAACAGTAATCAGAGAGACAGGCAGGAAGGTATGTGGTGTGACATATGGGCAGAGAATAGATAAAGAAACCTGGTTGTGGAATAGTGAAGTGCAGGAAGCTTTTTTTAAAAAAAAAAAAAAAAAAAAGAGGTTAGCAGTGGTTAATTTGAGCCAGATCCTGCCGGAACAAGATCCGGGCACAACCTCATTTTCACTGTGTGCTTCCAGGAACTGTTCTCTTGGATCCGTCAGCTCATATCGCTGTGCATAAAAGTCCAAAGTCATTGCACATTTTAATTTTGATTATTTATTAAAAATACAACGAGAGGAGACGTTATCCATGTCTGTGGAGTGGATGTTACTGCTGCAGCAGGTGCAATAGGTTGCGCACACGCTGCTGCCAGCAGAGCCGCTGACCGCGTGTCCCGCGGGGATGAAGCCTCTTCATCCACCTTCAGCTGTGTCTCAGAACCCAAAGCAGCGCAAACAAACATTTTAACGGCACAAACCAGCACAAACCACTCATTGTATTTACTGGAATTTTTTGACGTGGATGGGGTGTAAGCTTCACCAAGCTCAGCTGTGCACCCTGCAGACAGTGCATGTTTTACGCACAGGAGCGTCTCCAGACAGCTCTGCAGAGCACGCACAACTGCCAACGTGTCAGAACTCCTGCATGCATTTCAAAGATAATAAATAACAAAGCTTAGTTAAAAAAAATACAAGTGATGTGTATTATTCACATTACGTTTCAAAATTCGTCAAAATAACAGGATCAAAATGTCGAAAAGACCGTCCAGTTTATTATCTAAAATAAATGGATGGATAGATGGATGGATTGTTGTTAGCTGGACAACAGAGAATTGAAGCAGTGGTGATAGAGATTGGAGAAGAACAACATGCTGGACTGAATTCAGCTGAGAAGAGTTTGGGTTGGACACAGAAGATTGTTTGTTTGTGTGTGTGTGTGTGTGTGGGGGGGGGGGGGGGGACGTTTGACAGAATTGAAGCAGATATATTCATTGCTCTCTAAAATAATAAATTCAATTCAACCTTTATTTATACGGGTTGTTAGTCTCATTGAGCCTGGTCATTTACAAGAGAGAACCGTTTTTAATCAATTTAATCAAATGTTTACAGATGTTTAACAACATGTTAAAATGCACAAAAAATGCAGGAAATGGCATCTTTTTTTTTCCAGAAGTGATTTAAAGATGAAAATGTACCAGTGTGAGAGTCTGTGTGAAGTTAATGATGACCACTTATCCAATGAATACAAGGTGCAGTGATGGGTACGGTAGTTACAGCCAGTTATGAATCTTAATGCATCGTGATAGACAGCGAGCAGCATTTGCAAGGTGCCTGCAGGAGCATTCATGCAACTAATGTCACCATAGTCAAAGGAGGTAAGGAAAGTAGCAGTTACCATGTGTTTTTTAACATTCATTCTTAGACAGGATCTATTTTTGAAAAAGAAACCCAGTTTTACTTTTTTTTTTTTTAAACAGTTTTCAACATTAGGCTTAAAAGAGAGATATGAGTCGACCAAGATACCAAAGTATTTGTAAGAATCAACCAACTCAATAGGAACACCATTTGAAGATAAAATAGAACGAAGGACTGCTGGAACTGACTTCCTCTTTGAAAACAATATCCCTTTGGTTTTGACAGCATTTAGCACCAATGTGTGTGTCTTATCTCACTCAGCCTTATAACCTGAATCTCTCACTCACTGCTCATTGAATTGAGAAAGTTCCTCGGATGAGGAGCGAAACGTCTTCTGTTTCAAATAAAGTCCAGTTGTTTTTGTATTGAACGCTTTTTGAATTCATCATGTCCTGGATGACTGAGAATCTTCACCAGCACATTTAGCACCAAGTTTGAAACAGAACAAATCTGACTGGATGATGTCAAAAGCGGACTGTAAAAGTGGGAAAACCTTAGCAACTGTTTTAGCTCGACAAACAACCGTGTCATTGCCATAGAAGCCACAGTTAGTGAGGATCCACAACCTCTCCTCCTCCACCATAACCCT